GTACCCGAAAACACTGGGTCGCTAAAGCTCTGCTTTGTGATTGTGTCGATTGTATTTTTGCATTGCTCTGCCGCCTGGTGTTAGTATCGTGGTCCTCACGTGTGAAGGGACCTTCAACTCCAAGAGAGTAACATAAACTCACCAGCTTGCTCGTCACACTTGGTCACCTCAAACTTTTGCGGCCCGTTGTTGGCTGCTTGTGAGCACTTGTTCTTCTGGTTGTCGCAAGATCGGCCCGCGGCGGTGTTGAAGTCGGGCTATAACCGAGCACGCATTAGCACGCTTGCTTCCCATAGGAAACACACTCCCTTTTCCCCCTCTGTCTCCGGTAGAGAACGTCGGGGATCACGCGGAAGAAACTCACAAAAGTATCACCGTCGACCTCGAACGGTCTACTAGGGTCATTTGACTTGGTAATCTGTAGCCAAGCCACAATAGTCAGCATACAACGTTCCGTCCTACGATTCCCTCATCCTACTCCTGAAACAGCGCCACCCATTGAACGCCATCCGAACCTCTCCCCGGAGCTAAGTGTTTGCGCCCCCCTTGAGGATCTCGATTCTCGCTCGAGTGTTGAGGAGAAGAGCATCCCGAGAGATAGAGATGTAATCACATACCGCTGACGCTTGTACACCGCCCAAATTCCCCTCGAAAGTCTGCAGGTTCTGCGTCGTCTGCCGCGGCAGTAGGCCATACTTCCATCCCATGCGCATCTCGTCGCCGAGGTCCATCGCCAGTACACCCGCCGCCACCACGGCGGCCCCCGATAGGGCGTTGAAGAGAGTTGACGTTCTCATTGCTTTCTCTCTGATCTTTGTCGTGGGCCGACAGTAGTTTGGCGTTTCTCGCTCGCTTTTATGATGTCCTTTCGGATGTGATTATCGAGTTTGCTCTCCTTCGGCTTGATTAATTGATCGCGTTGGTTGCGTTCGTCGAGTATCGTTGCTCTGCAATTGTGATCGTAACCCAATTGATACCTCTCCCTCTCGTGTCGTAGATAAAGTCTCCTAGCTCCGTCCTTTCACCAGCTCGTCGGATTGAAATATTAGAAATATGTCGTTGTAATGTTAACTCCGAGGCTCAACCTCGTCGAATCGTAGTATATAGCGTCGTCAACGAAGCGCAGTAGGAGTTGTAGTGTGGATTGGCGACGCGCAGCGCTCGAACGTAGAAAATCGTAACACCGAAAAGACGTTGGAGGAGTAGAAAAGTAGAAAGGAATAACCCAACGTCCGTTCCTTAAACCTTAGCAGCACTTTTTTCCGATTAACAGGCGCCCGCGGCTGCGCTGCGACACACGGCACGGGAGGGGGAAAGTAGGTATTGGAACTGGGGCCTTGCAGCAAGCAGCAAAGGGAACCTGAAACGCGGAAAGAGATCCAACCACGGCTGCCCACAAAAAGCTGGGATGCAACACCACCGCAACACCACCACAAAGCACACCCGAAACACCACTGAGACGGGGAAATCATATTACGGATGGCCTAGCTTTGCTGTGTCCACGTGATATTGCCCAGACGGGACGGCAACCGAAAAAGGACGATCATGCTGGCTTGGAGACATGGAGTTCATCAGATGGCAGTTGGCCCCCTCAGATGACGGCCGATCATATCGGGAAAGATAGAATGGAATAGAGTTCAGAGGGAGGAGGGGCTGCAATCAGTCGGTTGAACTCAGTTCTCTCCCTCAACCCCCGGCCATTTCAGCCAACAGGCTTCACTTGCGTCATTTTTGCATGTGGTATGTGCTTCTTCTTTGCCTTTCAATGTTTGTTTGAATTGTTTGAAAGTTGGTGGTCCTGATATTAAAGTTGTATCTTAACGTACGTACAAGCCGACGGGCCTAGAAGGCTGCCCATCAGACTTGCTTGTTGCGGTCTCTGCCATGTGTCTTTGCTGGTATCGATGCCCTGTCCTGATGCGCGACTCGTTTGAAGCCCCACACTAGTCCAGTGAAGTGATCATCCTAAGCCCAGCCGACAAAGAAGAGTAATTTTCAGCCTTCTATGTACATAATTCCATCCATCAGTCCGGAGACCTTGCGATATGCAACCATGCCTGCCATGATGATCTGGCGGCCCTAAACTCCGCATGACTGGTGGAAAGGCCAGCGTAACAAATGAGTAAAAAGAGAAATCAAGGAGTGTGGTATCCGTGTGGAAAGGACTGGGGAATCAACGCTTTCTGTCGCAAGAAACAATCATTGGAAGTCGCAACAACAAACATCTTTAAAAGTTGGACGATGCATTGACTTGTTGGTTCGGCGCGTGGTAGCTTTCGAGAGTCGACTGGAAGGGAGTACGGCCGGAACCAGATCCCTGGGCACTCCCGATCTCGTTCTTGGGCTCGTTGCCGTACTGGTTGTTGTACTCCATGAGGCCATCGTTCTCCTCAGCCTGCTTCTTCTTGCCCCAAATTCTCCAGGCAACAAAGCCCAGGGCACCGAGAACAATGGCACCGCCGACACCAACAACGACACCAATGACGGTCTTGCGAGTCTCGGACGACATGCCAGAGGATGAATCTCCAGAGTTTGCCTCATTAAGACCGGGCGTGCTCGTGACGGTGGCCTCAGAGGTGAAGGAAGTTGCGACACCAGCGGAGTTGGTGGTGGTGATGACGGTCTTGATGGTGGAGGTAACGGGCTCGGCAGTGGTGGAGTGGGTGGAAGAAGCGGCACTTGCGCTGGTGGTCCCGTCGTTGTTGCTGCCAGCAGATGTGGTGCTGGTCTTCAGGGTTGTAGGAGCAGCCGTGGCTCCTGGTGTTGTGCTTGATGCAGGCGCATTGGCGGATGTGGTCGGGTCGGCAGCGGGAGATGTGGTAGTGACAACAGCGACGGTGGTGCTGGTGACCGGAGCAGCAGTCGTTGTTGTAGTTACGGCAGCAGCAGATGTGGTGGTTTGAGCAGCGGCAGTCGATGTGGTCTCGGCACCGCTGGCTGTTCCTGATTGTCTCTTAAGGAGGCCATCGCGGGGCTCGGCTTTGTTGAAGTTAAACCATGACGCCTGAGCGACCGAGGCGAGGGCGAGGACCTGAACGGCGCGTTGGGGATGCATCGTGACTGTGGTGGATGACGAGATTCACGGTAGGTGGTGCTTCAAGAATGGATATATCAAGTCAGCCGACTGTAGAAATAATTCTCTCGGTCGGTCAGATAAATTGAAGAATCGTTCGTTTGTGTGCCGACAACCAAATTCTTTGGTGGTGGTGTCAAAGACACAGGGTTCTGAGATGAGTCGAGTCGGTTCGTCTGGAATTCTCGGAAAGTTCTTACGTGCCGGGTGGGTACGAAAATAGGAGGGCGGCACGGGTCAGGGTGGGAGGGCGGAAGCGACCGGTAAGTTGACAAAAGGTAAAAAGCGATTTTGTGTTGTTTGTGACGCGGAAATCACTCGGAGTAAAACGAGAGGAAGGAATCAAAGGTGACGATAGGGAAAAGCGAGTGAATGGTTTTTATGAAGTGAGGGATGAGTTGGGATAGGTTTTGAGGGGGGTGGTCGTTGGAGTGGAACGAGCGGGAGGTCAGAAAAACAAGACTCGTATTCGAGCTGGAGCGGCGGAAGAGGGTGGTCAGTGTGAAAAGGCAGGTGCGGTTGCCAAGTGGGCAGTCACTGGTGGGTTACTGTGTACGCAGTAGAGCGCTGGGGACAGGTCCACGGGTCCAGGCAGGTACCAGGGATGCAGGGCCGGGCCACTTCTTCTTTCCTCCGTCGCACTGTCCGTGACCCGTGTGGTGGCTGTTCTTGGCTTCTTCCTGGGCCAAGAAGCGTCAGAAAAGGGAACCTCAAGTCTCCAAGCAGAAAACTGCCCAGCAACGTTGCGCAGGGGGGGGACAGAACTTAGAGGTGGGAGGTCGAGCCGGTAGCGACCGGGGTGAGTGGCGGTGGATGCTTGCCAGATTCTGGTGCAAGGGACAACGTGGTGGCGGTCTGACGGCCTAAGACATCAGGTTACCCATCTCAGATTTGTCCGCTTCTCGCGCGATGAGAACTTTTGATTGGCCAGATGGCTTGAACCCTGGGCCCGACACGGGGCACTGTGGCACACGACGATCAATGCTAAGAGGTACGTACACAGTACGTCTCTCTCGTTTCCTTCGTCTCTCGGCGAATCAGAAATGGCTTCACCCTCAGACCCTTCGTTGCCCTCCTGAAGTCTCCCTCACCCTCACGGCCTCACCTCTCGAAATTTACACGGCTCAGCCTCCAGCTCACTGCTCACGACCCTTTGCTCAAACGCTCAGTCAAATCGTCTATTCGCCGCCTCCAACAGTCCACGACACAACCGAGCATACCGCCGAGCCTCTTAGGTCAGTGGGAGTTGTTGGAACACCCCAAGGAAGCAGCCCAGCTGTCAGCAGTCTTTAGCGGCCGAATGGTTGGTGCCCATGAAAAACGGCTTGGACGGCCCCTTCTAGCCCGTCAGATGGCTCCAGACTTTGAGAGACTGGTCCAGCCCGCTGCGACCGCTGACTCTGCCGCATTCCTCGTAGCGGTTGGCGCCGACTGAGGTGTTTGCCATCAGGAGCTTTTCTCTGCAAGCCGCAAGCCCCAAACGTTTGAATGCAGCAATCCGATTTTGCATGGCGCGCTTTTCCTTTCATCAGCAGACAATGAACATCCCAAAAATAACCATGGTCTGTCTGTCTATTGTTCAACAAAAACTTCTGTCGACAGCAAAGAACCGTTGACTACACCACTGACATAATGCAGGACACCATGAACTGCCGTTGCAGTCGCAGACAACCATGACGATGACGATGGGATAGGCATCAGGCTTTGTGCTGGTCTGTCTAATCCAGGATGGAAAGGAGCGACAATCATATAGCATGTGCCGTTGGGTCAAACCCTTCATAGATGCTTAAAACCAAGCATCAGCAAAAGCAAAGCATACAAACGCACACATGGATTGCCAGCCGGCACCAATGGAACGATGGCACAAAAAAAAATTACCAGGGCAATATTGAAGCAATGAAGCCACTGGTTGTCCCCATCCACGGCAATGCAACATGCCTGCCCAGGGCCGATCTTGTCTCTATTTTCAGCATCGACCCGTCGCTCTTTGCTCCAACCGCCTCCGCTTCTGCCAGCCTGGCGTGCCAAACCCGGCCAATTCTCCTTCAGGGTCTTCCAAGCACGTCTCCACCGTCCCCCGGGCCCCTCCCAGCATTCGTCATTCTTCCCGGCCCCGTCCAAGAATCCGGATTCCACAACTTTTTCCAGAACTCGGCATTCGTCGTCGCACCACGCATGCCCTACCGTACGCAGTATGCTAATATGGACGCCGACAACAACCCTAGAGTATGTGAGGGGTCAATGGGGAAGGGGTCAAGAATTTCTCGGACGATGGGCATCGCCTCACTGGGCCATAAGATTTGCCTTCCGCGGCGGCCGACGTCACTTCCGCGCTCGAGGGTCTTCGCAATTCACCGAGGGCCCCTGCAACAACAATCAACAGGACTACTGTTACAGTACGGCCTGCAGGATGACGATGTTGAGAATACCGTTCAGACTGCGCCCGAAGCATCTCGAACTGTCAGCGACAGCTCTGTTCAAACCTTTTGTTGGCATGCAGCTGATGCCCCGTCATGCGTCATTTTCCCACCCAATGGCCAACCTCCAGATGAACCACTCAGCTAGGAGCTGTTTGAAGGAAACTGAGAACTCAACGAGTGCGTTTCGCCTAGCTTACACAGTTCAGGGTACCCTTTGTTCGAAGCTCTGTTTCCTAGCGCCCTTGTCATGGGTTCCCCTTCTTCCCACATCCCGGCACAGTGTCTACACTCCGTCCATGGAGGAAACTGGAGACCCTTGCGTACGGATACAGAGCACAAGAGGCAACCGATGGTAGAACGATAATCCGTCCGCAGCAAGCATCATTTCGGATCCAGGTCTGCCCTTCCGCGGATCTCGGCGTCGGAGGACCCGCCTACTCACGGACACCCGCATAATGCAACGGTGATGTGAAGCATTGCATTCCAGCTTACAGCCTCCCGGTGTCAACCCACGCATTGAATCCTTAATCGTACACTAGAAGTGTGCGTCGCCTCTCGATACAGTGATACGATTGTCCAACCATACAGCGGTGAATATCGGGAGACGAGATTGCTTTATTTACCAAAGTCCCTTTGCGTGTCTCTCCTTGAACTTTTTGCATGTTTCAGCGGGGAGTTTATAATAGCCGAGCTGCCTATGACAGCTAGCTTAGGATCTCGCCCGCAGGTGAATACATCATCAGACGGTAATCATTCAGGTGTGTCATTTTGCAGTCTACTTTAGCACTCTTTGTTGACTTTGCTATATTACTGACGAGTCTCGCAACCCGAAAACATTACTTGAGCCAGAACTCGCTTGGATTATCAAAAGACCTTGCAACGCCGCAAAAATGTGTAGCAGACAGGGCGATGGACCATTTACAATACACACGTCATTGCTGTTCAATCCAAGGAAAAAGACCTTTGACAAGAATATCTCGATTGTCATCGATCCAACGAACGGCGCCATTGCAGATGTGTATGACCGGCAGCGATCCAAACATTTCGAGTTGACAAGTCATGATATAGATCTGCGAGGGAAGGTTGTGATGCCAGGATTTGTCGACGCGCATACACACGTGTTTCTTCATCCATACGAGTGAGCCTCATCATCGTGGCACAAGGTCCTTGATTCAGCTAACCTTGGCTAGTGAGGCTTCATCGACGGTCCAGATGCGCGACGAAAGTGTCGTCGAGAGAATCGTTCGTGCTACAAATCATCTCCGTGTTGCCCTTCTGTCCGGTTACACCACATACAGAGATTTGGGCACCGAAGGGCTGCGCTCATACGACGCAAACCTGAGAGACTGTGTGAACCGAGGTCTGGTACCGGGCCCGCGACTCTTCGTGGCCACCGAGTGTCTCGCCAGCACTGGGTCCTACGAGGTCCGTCACGAGAACTCGTGGGCGAAACTACCGCGCATTTCGGACCCGTGCGACGGTCCGGCAGGCGTGACACAGGCTGTCCGGCGTCGTGCGGCCGATGGGGCGGACATCATCAAGTTCTACGCGGACTATCGGCGCAAGGTGATGCGATTCCCAAATTCAAAGGAACCGATCCCGTTTCTTCCCTCGGAGCCCAACCCGACTGTGGTGATGTTTAATCAAGAGGAGATGGACGCCATCGTCAAGGAAGCCAAGCTAGGCGGGCTACCCGTGGCGTGCCACGCAGGGTCAGCCAAGGGCGCACTCATGGCTATCAAGGCCGGCGTCGACACCGTTGAGCACTGCCAAGAGGCCACCGATGAGGTCTTTCGAGAAATGGCGCGCCGTAGTACCATCTTCGTCCCGACGCTCGGGATCATGAAGACTTCGCCTGATTTCAGCAGCATCGCGAAGAAGACCAAAAGGGCACACGACCTCGGTGTGCGTCTTGCTGCCGGGGGCGATACCGGAACATTTCCTCACGGGGAAGGTGCTTTTGAAATGGAACTCATGATCCAGGCCGGGGTTCCCGTCGTGGATGTGCTGGAAGCATGTGTGATGGGAGGCTGGGAAAGCTGCGGTAAGGAGAAGAGCGGTTTCTACTTTGGTTCCATCGAGAAGGGCTACCGAGCCGATATCATTGCCTTGGACGCGGACCCGAGAGAAGACGAGGGAGCCTTGAGGAAGGTCAGCTTTGTCATGAAGGACGGCAAGGTCTGGAAGAAGGACGGGCGAGCAGTCGGCTTTTTCGATGAGCAGACGGTTGATTCGAACCCCAGCACCGATGAGGAGTCGGATTGGACTTTTGTTTGACATGGCGTCATATGAGCTTCATTGAATTCGATTAGTCAATTGCTTGCCCGCTCCAACTGGCCGTGATGAGCAGCAAGGTTACATTGCGCTGGCCGGATCATCACCAACAGGCGACGGATACGAGCTTGAATGCGACCAGACAGTCGTAATCAAAGAAATTCCGGCCTTCGGCACTTGATGTATCGGGAAGCCCGGCTCTGCGGACAATAAACGGGCATCGCGTTAATTGATCTCGAGATAGATCACCGGAGACGATCATCACTGGCTCATACGCCTGTTTTCCGTCGCATTTTACAGTCGGATTTGCCTCCGCACACAATCGGCCGAGATTATTCCTGGTAAAGCAAGTCAAGGACGTCAAACGAGGGGTTGTTGGAACCGCTTCCTCCACATGCTCCAACGATCGCTACCACGTCTCCGCACGGCTCGCGCGGGCTAAGCCGGCGAAGCTTAATCCCCAGCCAACCTCTTTTCAGGATCCGTCGTACTTCGAGGCTGCAGAAATTGGCTTGCATATCGTGGACCAAGCTCTCCTCAGCAACCGGGCATCGGACGATCGTTTCGTATGCGAAGCTAATCGCACCTGTTCTTCCGGACATGCCCATATTATGCTTCCAGTGCCGCTACTGCATGTTCCCGGCAATGGAGGAGAGGGGAAAGGGACGAACGATGGGCAATACTACGCACACCTCAACTATCCGCATCATCTGCGCATGATCGAACGGCGCTAGAGCACCTAGAAGGATATTGGTCTCCGGATGACTCTCAGGGTTCGCCCAGCTGCAAATGTCCGAGGCTGTGACTTTAATAATTATATCATGTACGGACGGCACCCGGGTGATCTCTTAGTCCCGTCCTTTCACCCTTCTCTCCCCCATTTGACAGCCGCCACCCGGGTAACCTGTCAATCATGAGGCCGTCTCTATTCTCCATCGCCTCGCTAGGCCTCGGGCTATGCTCCGCCGCATCCGTGGCGAGCAGCCTCGCCGCAGGAGTTCGTTCGTCTCTCGCCCTCGCTCCCGTAGTAAGAGTCCTGGACGAAAAGAGAGACCAGCTCCAGGACATCGTGACATGGGACGAGCGCTCGCTCTTCGTCCGCGGCGAGCGGGTTATGATCTTCTCGGGCGAGATCCACCCTTTCCGCCTGCCCGTCCCGTCGCTGTACCTCGACGTCTTCCAAAAGGTGAAAGCCCTTGGCCTCAACACGGTCTCCTTCTACGTCGACTGGGCGCTGGTCGAGGGCAAGGCCGGTGACTTCACCGCCGAGGGCGTGTTTGATCTCCAGCCCTTCTTCGACGCCGCGACCAAGGCGGGCATCTACCTCATTGCGAGGCCCGGTCCGTATATCAACGCAGAGGCCTCTGGCGGTGGGTTTCCGGGTTGGTTGGCGAGGTTGAAGGCGAAGCTGAGGACTTCGGACCCCGAGTTCCTTTCTGCTACGGACAAGTAAGTCCTTTTGTAACTTGAAGGAGTCCGTTGGTAAAATCAGTAACTGATGATGGTAACCAGCTACATGGCAAATATCTGCGGCATCATCGCCAAGGCCCAAATCACCAACGGTGGCCCAGTCATACTCTTCCAGCCAGAGAACGAGTACACCAACTTCGAAGACGGCAGTAGTGCCGATGGGCCGTACTTCCAGTATGTCATCGACCAGGCTCGCAAAGCTGGGATTGTCGTTCCCCTTATCAGCAACGACGCCAAAGCAGCGGGCCACAATGCACCGGGAACGGGTGTAGGCGCCGTTGATATTTATGTAAGTCACTCTTAAGTTGTCACAGAGACTTAAGACTAATACGTTCTAAAGGGCTTTGATGCGTACCCGCTTGGATTTAACTGTGTGCGTAGCATCCTGAAATCCTTCCTCAAAAGTCTAGCAAATGGAACTGACCGCCGAGGTGTAGGCAAACCCGAATACGTGGCCGGATAATGCTCTCCCAACCACCTACCACGCACTACACTTGCAAACAAGTCCAAGCACGCCTTTCACGATTCCAGAGGTAGGCCTGCAAAGGAGCAATAGAGAGACGTTAGCTTACTCGTTGCAGTTCCAAGGAGGTTCCTTTGACCCCTACGCTGGGCCTGGGTTCGAAAAGTGTGCGGCGTTGGTTAATCACGAGTTTGAGCGCGTATTTTACAAGAACAACTTTGGAGCCGGTGTCACTATATATAATATCTATATGGTAAGTTACTTCGAGGTAGGGGGCATGAGAGACCGAGACTGACGAGAAACTAGATCTTCGGAGGCACCAATTGGGGTAACTTGGGGCATCCGGGTGGATACACGTCCTACGATTACGGCTCCGTAAGTATAAGGCAGATTGATTTGTTCCTGTTAGACTCACTGACGCTTTTCAAGGCAATCACGGAAGAGAGAACTGTCTCGAGGGAAAAGTACTCTGAGCTGAAGCTCGAGGCACAGTTCTTAAAAGTTTCGCCCGCATACCTGACTGCAACGCCCGGAAACTTGACCGTCGGTGTATACAGCGCAACTCCAGACATCACGGTAACACCTCTGCTAGGTAACGGGAACGGCTCGTTCTTCGTGGTCCGGCACAGCAACTACAACAGTCTTGCAACGACCGATTACACGCTTCGTCTGCCCACGTCGCAAGGAACCATCACGATCCCGCAGTCCCGCGATCTGCTGCAACTTACCCGCCGTGACTCGAAGATCGTTGTCACGGATTACCCGGTTGGGAACACGACTCTGTTGTATTCGACAGCGGAGATCTTTACCTGGAAACAGTACAAGAACCAGACGGTTCTTGTCGTTTACAGTGGACCTGGCGAGATGCACGAGATAGCGATCAAATCGACCACGACGCCTGTCCTCGTTGAGGGCACCAGCGTTGATCACAATTATGTGAACAACACTCTGCTTTTGGCATGGGAAACATCAAGCACTCGACGGGTAGTGAAGGTCGATAACCTGGTTATATACATTTTGGGTAAGTACACCAGCTACTTTGCACCACCTTGCGACTAACACAGAGAAGACCGCAACTCGGCATACAACTACTGGGTGCCAGATAAGCCCAGCGGAAGCCAACCGGCGTACGGCACGTCCATTATGGATCCAGACTCTCTCATCATCAATGGCGGGTACTTGGTAAGATCGATCTCGATACAAGATGGCACTCTTAGAGTCCAGGCGGATTTCAACCGTACCACTGAGATAGAGATCATTGGCGTCGACCCGGAAGTCACCAAGCTGGAAGTCAACGGCAAGCAACTGGACCACACAACGAACAATCTAACCAACTGGATCGCGAATCCAGCCTTCGCGGGTGCCGCACCCACCGTACCGGACCTCAAATCACTCAACTGGACCTTCATCGACTCTCTCCCTGAGATTCGCGCAGGCTACGATGACTCCGCGTGGCCTCTCGCCGACCACAAAACCACAAACAACACAATCGCCAACCTCACAACCCCCGTCTCCCTTTTCGCCTCAGACTACGGCTTCCACGCCGGCACGCTCGTCTTCCGGGGCTACTTCACCTCAACTGGCACAGAAGACAAGCTTGACATTACAACCCAGGGCGGCTCCGCCTTTGCGAGCTCCGTCTGGCTCAACGACACCTTGATCGGCTCCTTCGCCAACGGACCTGACGCAGCGGGCGATAATGCCTCCAATTACACCCTGGCCAACCTCACCGCGGGCGCAACGTATGTTCTGACCGTCCTCGTCGACACCACTGGCCTGGAGGAGAACTTTGTCATCCCCGCGGACGTGATGAAAACCCCGCGCGGGATCATGGACTACAGCATCACGTCCCCCTCCGGCGCCCAAACGAACGTCACGACGTGGAAAATTACGGGGAATCTCGGCGGCGAGGGCTACGCCGATAGGGCTCGCGGCCCGTTGAATGAGGGCGGGCTCTTTATTGAGCGCCAGGGCTATCACCTCCCGTCTCCACCCGAATCGGCGCTCAACACACAACGCTCGCCATTCGAAGGGACAGATGTGCCCGGTGTGGCATTCTACGCCGCGAAACTGGATCTGCAAATCCCCGCTACGGACCTCGACGTGCCCCTCTCCTTCGTCTTTGACGACATCGCAGCGTCAAACGGAACGGGTGCGTACCGCGCCATTCTGTACGTGAACGGGTTCCAGTACGGGCGGTACGTGAGCAATATTGGTCCGCAGACCAGGTTCCCCGTGCCCGAGGGCATACTCCGGTACCAGGGGACCAACTACATTGGTCTGGCCGTCTGGGCACTCGGCAACGTTGGAGCTCGCGTGCAGAACTTCCGACTCGATGTCGGCGAGGTGGTGACGACCGGTCGCGAAGAGGTTAAGGTTGTTGAGGCGCCGGCTTGGAGTCAGCGAGCGGGTGCATATTAGAACTATTTGGTGGACACTTTTTCTTTCTTGTACATTCGTAGTACATACAGCCCTGTGGTTTAAGCAATCAAGGTGTTTGCAGATCAAGCTTCTATTCTTATTATGATCGTGAGAGTGCGTAGGCGTTCTCGGCAGGAACTGTATTTCTGTCTATTCGATACAAGACGAAAGAAAATACACTCTCGGTCATCTGGCGTCTTAGAGGTCATCAACGAGAGGACTAGGTCCCTGCGGCATCCCAATCTTATCCTCAAACATCATCCTCAGAGCCTCCACTCTACCGCGATCCGACATGAATCGGAGATACTCGGCAGAGTTGGTTGTATCCATGTCAAGGATCCCGGGGTAGCCGCCAGGCGCCGTGATATCCTTCCGAGCACTCCACTGAGAAGAATTGCGCTGGAACCCATCATCGAGGAGGAAGTTGGCAAACAGCTTCGAAGCCTCGGGGTGCGGCGCGTCTTTGAAGATAGCGACAGACCTCGGCCAGCTGACAAAGAGCCCCTCCGTCGGGAACGAGGCGTTGAGGCTGCCCGAGGACCGAAGACCGATGCTGGCGGTGAACGTGACGGACTGTGTGCTGTTGGGCTGGCGCAGCACAGCCAGGGGCGATCCCGTGCCGCGGACCCAGCGGGGCTCGTTGGCGAGGAGGCCGTCGAACCACTCGGGACCATACTGGTGCATTCTGGAAGAAGAAGTGAGCACTCTGCCACTTCGAAGAAAAGGAGCGCCTGAGAGTATCTTACACGAGGTCAAAGATGTACGCAATGGCATCGTCGTCACTGGGGTGCGTCAGAACAATCTTGCCCCTATACTCGGGCTTCAAGAAATCCGGCCACTCCCGCGGCGGGTTCGCAAGCTTCTGCGTGTTCCAGACAGTCGACCACGCATTCATCGCAAAGCCGTAGTACGCCGCGCGCACATGACGAAACGGCGCCAGCACCTTGAGATAGTTATTCGGAGCATAATGCAGGAGCGATCCCTGCTGCTCCCAACGGGTGTAGTCCTGCAGGGCCTGGAGGATGATGGTGTCCACCTCGAGCGGCCTGCCCGAGGCGAGCTGTCTGTCGACGTTGACGCTGTGGTACTTGGAGCGGTTAACCGTGATGTTGAGCGTCATGCCCGGGAACCGGGTCTCGAAGGCGCGCTTGAGGCCGTCTTGTTGGGTGACTTCGTCGCCGCCGTGCCAGCATGTTACGATGCCGCCTTCGGCTAGGGCGGCTTGGTAGATTTCGTCGATGGTGCGGTTTTCGTTGACTTGTGGGGTGTTGAAGCCGAGAGAGATGTCAGCCGCGGAGACTTGCTGGGCCAGGAGAGCACACAGCAAAGGGGGTGAAAGACGCATCTTGAAATGGAGGGGTGATTGATGTGAGAGCAGTTGATGAGATGGTGCATTGTGACTTGATGTTCGTCCGATGTCAGTAAACTTATACTCACGAGACGATGATCGTTATCAATACACATGATGGACTAAAGGCCGAGTACTTGGCGAACGCGTAATGGTCGAGCTTAGCACACGAAGGCTATGGCTTGGCGAATGTAAAGTTAGTGAAGCTGCTGTTCGTCCTTGGATCTCATCAGGCTATTGACAAGGTTGACGTCGACTTTGTTCCTCTACGTTTCCATGATCGGCTAGAGGCTACTCGACTACTCGGATAAAGTTGCTGACACTAATAACGGTTTTAAGCTTATGGCCGGACATCGACTGTAGCCCAAACAACTACGCCTGTAGTAGATCATCCGATAAATTAAGCTTAATCACTACTACGTAGACTACCTACATCTGGTTCCTCACAACTGTAACGGCGCGCGGGTCTTGACTCAGGTTGGGAACAGTTGCATAGAACCCGAAAACGGTAACAAGTCGCCGTAAATCATAGTTTACAGGCCCCTTGAGCACTGCCTCCGTTGACATAGTCATCGGGCGTCTCTAATCACGACTAGTATACCGTCGACCAATGAGAGGGTCTATTCATTCTCAAACAGGCTAATTCCCCAAGGACGATGCTCGCTACATTCTTACATTGTGAGGCGGCTTACTGAGCAAGTCGTTACAACAAGGTTCGGTAACGGCTATGATATCTACCGGACGTTGAACATCTCGGTCGGCTCGGCCGAATGCATAGCACCTTTCTCACGGAAACCGATTCCAACATCGGACTTACAATATGTACGGTTACAGTGAAGCAAAACAGTCGTAATGTGTTGACTGTGCTTGAGGTAGACGGAAGGCTTGGCGGCGAACACCCCAGCCACCTCATGGCAGCTCGGCTACATGGTAACTGTCGAAACATGCTAGAACTCCCAAACTTCTCGTCCGGTATCTCAAGTCGTGGCTGAATTAGCCTGGCCAGACTGTTACTGTATCAATCTACCCCACGCATATGTGCTAAGCGGAGAATACTCAACGTACGTCTCCGGTATCTCCTATCATCGTTGTAAAGTTAAAAGAACGAAAATGCTGAACAGCAATAGTTTGTAGACATCTATTTGCGTCATACGATGAAGGTTCAGTAAGGTCAAGTAAGAAAGCTCGATGAGCAACCCCACGCCGGGAGCTGCGGCGGCACATCTGACAGTTGGGATGGCATTGCTCAAGGGCAGAACGTGTCGATCCCGGAAACAAGCGCAGTAGGGCGGCAACGCAAAATTGGGGACGTTGGATGCTCGAAAGTGATAGAAGAAGGCCGAGCCTGTATTGTTAGGTAGAGTATCGGGATCGAGGAATGCATGGGGTTGAGGATCCAAAGTTAACATTTGGTCCGTCAACAGTCAGCAAAACGCGCGTCTTCCGTGACTTCTTCTGGGCAACTTGATCTTCTATCGCAACATAGCCGTTGCCTACGACTTACTTTGTTGCTCAAGCCTATTCTTTGTTGGTCGCTGCGTGTTTATCAGATAATCGAGGATAGCTGCAAACAGGACGAATGCTTTAAGAAGTGCAGCAATTAGAAACATGCCGCCTCGACTATGGCATCAATGTATCTTTACGTCTATGAGGACAATGTTTTCTTGTCTTCCATAACATCGACTGTTACTTTCTTACGTTCATTCATGGTACACCTATTGGGTAGCTAGTTGAGATCAAGAGAATCATAGCAGAAGAAAACGTACCGAGCTAGGCACCTGGCGCATTATCCATAAGTATTCGGGTTTCGATTATTCCGCTGCAGTTGATGTGTGATGCAAGGGAAGGGTTCAATTTCTCCTGAGATTAGGCTTGAAGTCGGGGCAATTGATCTTGGCAACAAACTATTTGAGAGGTAAGAGTTGCAGTTACGGACATGGCCAAACTTTCGGCGAAGTCAACAAGTATAGTGCAGCCGGCAACGGGGCAGCAGTTGATGCCATGACGTACGCTCCGCCAGCATAGGGGAGGGTTTATGGTCCTTTGAGCCTTGGATCCGAGTAATCATACAACCCAACTAGATAGTGTATGGAATGACACAACCAGCGGCGTCTTCTTACATGAGCTCCTCGACTATTCTCCTAAGCAGACTTATCTTGAGATGTATCTATCAGTCAATGCTGTGACCATTGTCTTGGTCACGCTGCAATTCGGAGCAGTTCATGGCCAGCAACCTAAGCCTATGATTCTCGCAGATACCAACCGTGACGGTATCGTGGATGACAGCGACGCCACGGACAGAGCATTCTGGACCCCTTCTCGCGGCGCCATCTTCCTTCCAAACGTCAGCGACTCTCTCAAACGCTGTCCTAATTAGGATCTTCAGGGCAACCCTATCAGTAATCACGAGCTAGCATCTTGTCACGATGCTTCTGGCCACCTACTCCTTGAGCCAAGCCTGGTTGCTCCCCTGAAGACGATCCCATTAGAAGTTTCAGACGACACTATTGCCCACATCTACGCCACGCCTGACGCCGCATCTGAAAGGGTTCGTCTCTTTTACCTGAATGATTCGTCCGCCAACCCCGCCGAGACTGCCTCTTGGAGCTTTGTGGATCTTGAATTTACCTTCAATGCAAGCCATGTCCAAGCCGGTATCACTCTCGGGATTGACGGGTATGAGTTTGTGAAGGATTTGGCAAAATGGGACGGCAAAGTAAGGGTGCATTTTGATGTTCACGCCAATGGCACTGTCGTATTCGACGTCGTTGAGCTTAAGGTGGCTCCAGTTCTGAACCATCACCATCTCCAACGTGTCAGCGCCTTTGTCAGTACTGCGGCAAAGAGTCTGATCCTGTACAGCTCGATTTTCTCAGCCGACTTGATGAAGCGCGGAAGGCGGCAGGGATAAAGGAGCCATTATATCTGTTCAATCAGAGTGACGATATTTGGGCCCAGGATTTTGTTGAACCAGCATATGCTAGCACGCCTGGACCTAACGGCCAACCGATCTCGCTCAGAATTATGTTGAGGTCGGCACAGTCAGTTCGTACTGCTGAAAGACAGGTCTTTGAGCCGCTTCGCGGGAAAGGCGTTGGTGGTTTCCAGCCTGAGGGGGGACGCGGCGGCTATGGCGCCCGAGAAATCAACGCATACGGCAACCTCGAAACGATCCCACCTTACACGTCTAAGAGTGGAGTCAAATATCCTGCCGGCCGGATTATTCATGGCAAGTATTATGACAAGATGCTAGCGGAAGCTACGATTGCCTGCTTGGAAGGCTAAGAGCTTCATAACCCTCTTTCCTTGAGTCTGGATGGCTACTCATCGGTCACGTTGATGAGTTAGTCCAGTTTCTACCTTCCAACGAGACGGGCCTTGGCTTCACTATTGGTATCGCTGACACCACTTCCGCCCTCGACTTGCTCAGAAACACCTCAGCAGCGGCGCATGGTAGTGTCCGGGCGATTTCTTTCAATGGGTCTGTTTAAGGCTCCTTTTCTATCACGAAAGAGGAGCTGGCCATGACAGTCGATGAGCTTCTTCCAAACGAGACATTTCACGAGGTCAACGCTTATGCGCAGAGACATATTGATGCTGATCTGGGAATCCTGCTCGCTGAGATACCTATTCTTCGGGATCATGTGATTCGCATCCCCTCGCTTTTCAAGGCCCCCAAAGTGTCTTCGCTCTCCTCGTTAACTGAAACGGTAATGGAGGGCGAGTATTTGTTAGTGAGCTTCAGCCCGGCGGCTATCAACGGCGTCGTGTTGGACAACTACTACGTGAGTCCCAAGACTTGGGGCCCCGTGGTTGAGGGACGAGACATTTTGGAGTTTGCCATCCGGGAGGTATATGCAAAGGCTGGCATGGAGGTCGGGTTTGTGGACGATTTCATGTCGCATCACCACACCTTTGGCGAGGTGCATTGTGGAAGCAACACTTTCAGGGAGACGGACGCAGCGTGGTGGGAGTAGGGATAACACTCTCGTAGTGTGTGGGAGTTAGAGAAGAGGACGGGGAGAACCTGGGAGTCACCGTTCTAACAGCAATCTAGTGGAGAGAGCTATAGCATGTCATGATGTGCTCTGCAGTAATTATATTCCTTTCGTTCCCATCTCGTTCCCTACCAATTCTGCGTGCAGCACTGGTGGATAAGGGTGGCTACACGCGGTAATGTGAGGCACGGGAAGCCAGATTAGCCTTATTGCCGCTACTAAGCTACATTTGAGCTTCAATAGGTTTACACAGGCAAAACACGGTCATGCTATATATAGCAGTGAGCGTTCTCTGCTATCTGCAAATTTCGCGAAAAGTTTCAGGCTGCTCTTCCACGTTACAAAGACAACGATTGTGTCTCAGTGAAACAGAGCATTAGTCTACCAGCGTAGCCAGAGGTAACGAACTGCTACCATCATACAGCTTCAGCGATAACAGCATCCCTGCTATTCGCGGAAGAGAGATCCTCTCATACTCCATGTTCCAGATGCTGCTTTCCCTAGCCAACAAGATAGACTCTAGCACACTGGCAATCTCCCGACTATCCCACATACCTTCTTTCCTTCGCATGGCATACAGCAGCGAAATGGCCCTTTGCTGCAGGTCCAGCTCACCAGAGAACCCGGCAATGAGGCTCATTCGCGGGATCACATCCGCACCCAGGGTAAAGACCGGATACTGCATCGGCTCGGCCTCAGCATATATGAGCGATTCAGCATCTTCTAAAAGATCCTGGAAAAATTGTCGATCCAGAGGCTGTGAGCTCGGGGCCTCCATGCATTTGATGATGACCGACCAGTCCTTTTGCATGACTGACATTAGCCGCGCCTCCCATAACTGCTGCCTGGTTGTTGATGAGCTTGACTTGAGATGCTCAGTATAAGTTGCAAGCCGACTACTAAAGACATCAAAGAGATGGCGAGCTGTAAGCCATTCCCCGAGCCGCAGGTCGTCATCTCTTAGTGGTGACATGCTCTCTGGCAAATGCAAGAATGAGGTCCAAGATATCGGATTCATCGGAATGCTACCTCGGACATTGTAACGTAAAGCCTTCCCAAAAGCTTGGTCTACAAGGTGGAGATCGTACCGAGCCTCGGTGGTCGAGGAGTACGGCTTGGAAGCATCTTTGTTGCTACTGCCCCGGAAGAAATAAGACAGGTCCGGAATGACTTCCCCTTCTTCCAGTAAGTAGGCAGCATCGCAGCCCAAGCAGGTGAACATGTCGGCAAGATCGCATAACTGATCATAATAGTCCTTGACAGTCTCAGCCAGGCATCTCTGGTGCACTGAAAGAGGTAATCCTGCCTGAGCATCCGTTGCCGCTTTGGACAGGGCAACCATGATGCTAGAGCCGGATCTAAGGTGTTGCAGAGCTTTGTCGTAACTTCCCTGCATGATTTCAAAGCAGATGAATATCAAACAAGAAACGAGCGATGTCCTGAGAGTGATAGACGAAAGCCTTTCCATATCCCGAGTCGTGAACTTCATGGCCTTAGAGAATTGCTGGGTTGCTAGCACATCGTATGTTTGCGCGCCCGCAGCCTGGTCTTCTTCTCTGTAGTCGCTTATGAAGCCTCGATGTGCACATCCCAACGCTATCAGGCCGTGTTTGACTGAGTCGGAATAGTATCCTAGTGGGATGATGTAACTGTGCCATAGCTTCTCTAGAAAAGAGATAGCCCCGAAGCCCGCAACTGTGCATTTGCGTACATGATGGAACATGGCCCTTTCTGTTGGTGTTCCTGAGATGTCCCAGTTGACTGGCGGCGGGATCGCGGATGGTTGCCGACGCAACCTAAGCTGGAGACAACTGCGTCTTCGACAAGCTGCCTGTCCATTGACACAGCATCTCCATGATGTCAATCACTGCAGGATTGGAGAATGTAGCGGAATAAGCTTACTTGCTACAGGATAGCTTAGTTCGATCATCGGATATAGTGAGGGTGAGATGAGAACATACTGTGGCTGATACTTTGAGATGGCTTTAGGGTGGACCTCCCCTGTCTTTTCCGACACCTCCAACATCTTCCGTGGTAGGCGACTTAGGCTCGCGGTGCGATGCGGACTGCCAGGCTGCAATTGGTAAGATTCCAGTCAAAAAGCTTTCAACCGAGATCTCGTAGCTTCAATTGAGTGCAGATGAGCATAACTCTGAGAGCGCGCAGGCGATCACATATGCGAAGACTAGGCTGAAACTTGCAGGTTTCCAACTGAGCGAGGGCCATCACGATTTTGTCTTGGCCCAAGCTGAGAGTCCCACTTCTCGTTCTCATCCCACACTCCCGAAAGGTTTGACGATGCCTGATTCGCTGACTGCGTTTGAGAATGAAAGTGAGGGGAACGCGTTCTAAAAGTGTTTTACAACAAGTCATCATTGCCGCTGGTCAAACCTCTTACGATCAGTGGGATTGACATGAGAGCGGATGGATCATCGAGTTTTCTGGTAAGTAAAGTTGTAAATAGTAACAGCGTAAGTGAAATATGAGGGACCTAGAGGACGGTCTTACTAACAACAGAGTTCGGCAAGCGACTGATCATCCATACGTACTTCCCTAATCATGTCATCATCATTCATAAAGTTGGAATCTCTTCGCTTACTAATTCTAATGTTTCTTGTCTTGAGAATCAGACATTACAAGTAGAGCGGGTTCACAGGATGCGATAACGGCATCATAAAAGCCAAAGCAAGCCTTGTTCTCTAGATGTCCGACTACTAGTTCCAGAATACTCGTTATAAGACTCGAAATGACAATTGCCTCAAGAAGCTAAGCACTTACGGAAGGCCCGTTGCCTTAGTCACCAAGTTTTGTAGCATGGACCCAAGCTTCAGGGAATGCTGTGCATGGGTAGTTTCTTCGTTTCTGCCAGAAAGAGCAATCCGTTACTCGTTCGCAAGTTCATGATATATCAATTGACTCGAAGATAATCGAGGTACTGTATTGACTATCTAAAGGCACTAGGCTTGTAGGCCGGACTTGCCAAAAACCACATACACCGACACCACGTACGTCCACACAATACGGAGTTTGGGAGACAGAGGAATCCCGAAGTAGTCGTATGAAAACTCCGTAGAAACATATTTCCAAAGATCGGCAAGAGCAGAAAGTTATTGTGAAGGCCTATAGTGCTAATTTCATTTATATTAACCCGTACCGAGTGAAGCATGACTGGCTAAGAGCACTGACCCAAACTCTCTTCTCGTCAACGCAGATCTTCCAGCGCGTTCATAGCACGGAGGACTACGGAGCTGTCCGTTACCGATTTGCCTGACTCGAAGGCATATTAAGTGCCCGTGGGATAGTTCGTAATTTGAATTCGTTACTCATTAACGGGGATAAAGTCTGCTGGACGGATATAAACATGAGGTTCAAGTCCCTGAGAAAGTGAATTGACCGCAGTCCTTCTCGTCACACTTTGCCACCAACTATCTACGATCCTTTCGGTATAGAACTCTCCAAATATGCGTGCCACACTTGTTTTCGCGGCTGCGTCCTTCGCGACTGGAGCTATCGCAGCTAGGTCCATGGGCTACTGCCAAAACTTAGCAGGCGACGGCGGGGACATCGGAAAGACGAGGTTCTGCTGCGACTCGCAGTTCGACTTCCGCTTTTCTGAGGTAAGTTTTACAATGACCGGAACAAACAAAACCTGAGAATGCAAATGCTAACGTGGGGGGGGGGGGGGGGATGAATAGTCTGGCATATGTAACATCCCTGCGGACTCCTGCGGTGGCATCAGCACGTGCTGTGGTACTGGTTTCTACGTCTTCAACACTTGTCCCGACACGTTTCCTTGTGCGAACAGCGCGGTGGACAAGGTTTGTCCCAAGAACCAGTCGTGATTTATAGTAATGGAATAGAAGGACTGAAGATGAAATCTACTTGATGTTGGTCATGTTACGTTGCCATGACTCGCAACTCATTCGTGATGTTGTGAAGACCGACGAGTCCAGCCCATGACGGCTCGCCAAGGTGCATGCGGTGCAGTTTCTGAAAGAACATCTCAACAGCACGCTAAAAGAGCATGATCCAATCCAGTGACTAGCCACCTAAGTCAAATCAATAATCTCTGGCTCAGCTTTTCGTTTCGCCCCAGCAACAGGTGGCGGAGGCCGACTTGGCCCAGGAGTTGCAGCTGCACCCGTACCGTTCAGGCCTGAGGGCGGGGATCGCGACGGCCATCCCGCATTGCCCGTTGTCGGCGCGAAAGCTCTTTGTCCTGCTGACATTCCTATAGGGACTTGTGCCGGCCCGTTTATCGGTTGGAGACCATTTATTAAGCCATTCATCGATTGAGCACCGCTCATAGGCGGCGAAGCGAACGAGGATCCGGTTGCTGGCCTGTTGTAATGTGACGGCCGCGGGCCGCGGGCAGACCCGGTCATCGGCTGATGTCTGTTCGTGGGTGGTGGAACCCACGCAGGCCCGACTGCTGGCACAATAGTGTGCCCGGGCGGTGCATAACCTGCCGCAGCAGGTCCTGGAGCAGGAACAGGAGCGGGAAAATAAGCCGCAGCCGGAGCCGCAACCGGAGCCGGAGCCGGAGCGGGAATTGGTGCCGGCGGATACGTGATACCACCCCGCCCTGGCACCAGATTCACCGGCCGCTGCCACAATGCTGTCGCAATAGCAGGATAATCCTCACCCAGCAATACTCCTAACTTGGTCTGATCAAAAGCCTTGAAGACTTCCTCTGCCTCCTTGGCCCTCACCTGCTGCTTCGCAACATCCGTCTGCCCCACCTTGTTAATGACCATCGTGGGCCCTCCAGGCGCAAATCGCTCAGTCTCATGCGTGACCCGGATGCCGTGCTCCTCGATCACCCTGTGCACGTGGTGTCGCTGCTTCTTGGCGCCAATGATCAGGCGGAGTGACAGCTGCGCCGGGTTCGCGAGGAAATTGTCCAGTTTGCTGCAATCGCCGCAGGTGCAGAACTGCACGAGGTACATGCCGCTCCCCAGCTGGCCAGACGGCGGACGGACGGATCTCGAGCCGACGTAGTTATCGCGGTAGGCTTCGAGGGCTGCAGCGAAGAGTTGCTGGTAGCGCGGGGTGTCGAGTGGCGTCTTGGTGGCTTCGAGGATGGCGAGGAGCTCGCGTAGGAGCGGAATCCAGAGGACGGGGAAGTCGAGGGCGTGCATTTTTGGGGCGTGGCTGACGATTTTGAGGGCCAGTGGCAGGACTAGGTCCTCTTGTGGAGGGAAGGATGCGAGCTTGATGAGGCCGGAGAAGAGGTCTGCTAGGGCGATGTGATTCAAGGCGAGGCGGTGGTCGGGGGGAGACGGCGCCGTCTGGCCGTATGTGAATCTCGCCGCCTTGTGGGCAGGGTCGTCTTCCCTGGGCCCGTGAACCCTTTCGAGATCGAGCATAGAGATGAGGTCTTTTGCGAGCTTTTTGTACAAGTTGACGGCCAGAGTCACCGGGAAAGCCTTTCGTCTAGCGCATGAGAGCAGCGCTGACAGGAACTCCAGTGCAAACGCTGGCGTCCGTACAAGTAGCTGCTCGACCAATGGCATCGTCCTGGGAAAGAGAGTCAGTCATATGTACGTCTGGCGGTGATTACGGTTTATTGGGAGATACTTACACAGAGGAAAGCCAACCAAAGTCGGCATACTTCTCAGCGCCCGTCACTAAAGCCAGTCCATCTTGTCGGACGAAGATTGCGGTATCGGCAATGTCCTTGAGGCCTTTGGTGAGCGTTGCTTGTGCCCACTCCCGAATCTCGTCAGACAGGGGCTGATCGGTAGGGGCAAAGGCCTTAACCGCCTCGAAGATCTCGAAGAAATATCGACCCCTGAATACTGTGGAAGTCAAGCTGGAACATCGATAACGCGGTTAGGACGCGAACCTGAAAGAATGGGCTGGATATCGGGGAGAGAACGCACCCGTTTTTGATCTGAGAAAAGTCTGCCTTGCCCTGCGAGACCTCTGCGTAAAGTAATTGATAGTAGCCCGCGGGCAGTGGTCCGTCCAGCCCCTTTTCGGCTTTTTTCTTGCTGATCTTCTCGAAAAAGTCCCAATCCTTCATAGCCAAAGCAGATCGCAACACTTTGCACAGGATCTCGTCTTCAGCCTTTTTGGTACGCCTGCCTGGACGAGGGACCGACGTATCCCATATGTCTTTGAGTGTCTCAAACGATGACTTGCTGTTCGACGAGGCCTTGAGGATCGAATCTGTGAGGTAATCGACCAGTACAGCGCTGTCATGGTAGTGATCCCATCCCGACCTCGTACTAGCTTTGAGGTACGAAGGGATCTTGTCTCGGCGAATGATGAGCGCGGCCTGAGTCCAATATTAGCTAGAAGCCGCGAGGGGAAAGGGAAACAGAAAGCTCACTGTTACGCAGTACCGGTGGGTAGCTGTTGGTCCCTATAGTTCGTCTTTGTTAACATGACGAACGTACCTGCCACTCCCTTGGATCGAAAACCTACCCAGTTGCCCTGATATCCCTCATACTCTTCCTTCCGTTCAACGCCTTCAAAGAACTCGCTAGCATCAAGCACATTTTTCCAATCCAACGCGATGTCACGGAGTATCGGGCGCCCGCTCAAGTCCACAAGCACCTTGACAGACAACGACTCGTCCGTCACATCCACAATGTCACGAGACATGCCCGCCTCATTTGGATCTTCCTCGACCCCGTCCGAGCTGGATGTATAATCCTCATACGGCACACCACACGAATCGTATCCATCCATTCCATCAGAATCTCCAAAATGATCAATCAGCCGCTTCCGCTTCCCACGCCAGCTCCGTTTCTTTTTCGAATACCGCGAATTGCCCTCGTACACTGCCGGCCCCATCTCCATCTTCTCTGTCAGCGCTAGAAGAACATCAAACTCGAGCCCAGCCGAAAGCTCCTGCAGCGTCTGCACGACGGCCGCGTCGCGTCCCTTGAGCGCCTTAATTGAGATGTTGTCCTCGGCGTACTCGTGGTCCAGGCCGTAGTAGACGTGGTCGATCCCGGCGTTCTCGGAGCGCTCCAGCCACCGCCGGACCGTGTGCCGCAGCGCGCGGGTCTCTTGCCTCCGCAGCGTCGCAGAGGGCCGCTGCTGTGACGCCATCGCCGCCGGGTCGATGGTTAGGTTGTACGTGAGCACCACGCGGTAGCCCTCCGTGACGGGCAGGACCTCGTGGTGGACGTCCGAGTACCAGCACGCAAAGGACTGGTCTGCCCCTGAAGTCTTGAGCATCTTCGTCTCGCCGCAGTGCTTGACGACTACGTCGCCCCCCTTGTGGCCGCAGGGAAGGCAGATGACGAGAGTGCCGAACATGCCGGGGCATTTCTCGGTGCTGATGACCCGTGTAGTCTCAGCCATCTAATCCATCTTCACGCACCATAAATGACAACACACTAAAGACAGACTTACTCGGTATAAGCCTTGGACACGGCCCCCTTTTCGTAAATCAAAAGCTTATACAGCTCCGCCGTCACAGGCGACGTGACGCCCAAATCCTTCGCTACAACAGCACATATCTTTTGCAAGTCCGCCGGCCAGCGCGGACTTCGGAGCTCGAATTGCGAGGGGTCCAGCTCCCACGTGTTGGGCGCAGCAGTGTCCACGATGGTCTCACTCCCCTTACCTAACGGAGCACGAGTGGCTTTTTCGATCAGTTGCCGCACCGTCGGCTCCGGCAGCGGCTGGGCAACAGGTCCGACATCATGGACGGAGAGGTCCGGGTCTACGCGCTTCAGAGGGTGGAACGAGGCAAAGGTGCCCTGTGTCTGGATGCCGGCAAGCGCCTCGGCGAGGTCATCTTCAAAGGAGAGCTTCCAGTCCTCTGCGAGTGCGCTACTGGCTACAGATGCTGTGTCATCATCGTGCCCGTGGCTGGCTGCGGCGTCCCCGGTTCGACTGGGCCCGGCGGTGACCTCGTTGTCGTTGGTGTTGGGCTCAGTGGTAGCCGTCTGAGCTGCGATAGCTTCACTCGCCTGGGGTTCCTTTTCAGTCTTAGGTACTGAGTCAACCGTGGGAGCTCGGGAATCCATCACAGTGTCTGATATAGCAAAGGTTCCGTCACATAGAAAGGGCTCCCAGCATCAATCTTCATACCATTCACTTAATTGCACCAAGACGCGACGCGTTAAGGGGAGGTCGTAAATAGTGGAGAAACCATGTACTATCCCTGTTGAGCAAGTACACATGAGGGGGGTAGGTACAACGTCGAGTCTCCCAGAGTTGTCTCAACTCGGAGACTTCTAGGACCATGAATGGAGAATTGATCATCAATCGACCTGAACTTGAAGTGTATCTATCGAGATGAATCAATGCATTCGTCGAATGAAGATCTCATCATCCTGTCATATTTGTGAAAAAGGGGAAACGAACTTGTCTGTTTGGGGGATGCCATCTCCAACGGTCGTAGAGAGATACTTCTACCTCTCCTCTCGGTGCATCGACCTATCCCCACTGTTTCCCGCAGCCAATGTACCCAGTGGACCGGCTCCCGCGTTTTCTCGTGTTCCCCTTGGTCTGTGCGGGACATCCCTCGGTGAAAGTGTGGCGTCAGCTCTCGGTGAGGCGGGCGTGGCAGGAAGGTGTCCAACGTTTGATGACTACCCTTCAACCTGCCCTAAAGCCGCCATTGACAGAGAATGGAGGACACATGCCTCACCAAAAATACGCTGCAGAACATTCTAGAATCTGGGGTTCCAAGTATTTCACTGTCTTTTCGTCAATCGCATGCGTTTACATCGGCGTCGTCGTTTTCGTGTGCAACATGACTTCTTCTACTCAACTCAGTGGTGGTGGTATGGACCTCATGTCCGGTCGACCTGCGCCAAAGAAACACGGAGCGATGGTCAATTTTTGGAAACACACATGTTCGTATTCGTCGATACTATTTAGATAGGTTCTGCTTGCTATCCCTACCTAGTCTAACCAAAAACCTAATGAACCTATTGCATCGCTCCTGTTCCCGATGATCCTATCCCATTCAGCTGTGTACCAGAACTACAGCTTTCCCCAAATGATTCCCAATCATGGACAATTTCAAGTGGGTATTCCAGACTCCGTTCTGCAAAAAATCAAAACCAAGTTTCAAGCAGATGTTTCCCCAAGAATGACGTATACTGTGTTACCGCCCGTTCCAAGAATTGGGAAATGAACAAAGCATCGAAAAAAAAAAGAACCCCCCCTTCTTGTTTCGATATCGGGTATAAGAAATGTCATTGGCCGGTTTATCCGTGTTTCATCAGGCCGTGTTGTTTTTTTACCACTGGGTATATCCGAGGTTGTGTATGTGTTCGTGTCAAAGAAAAACGACCGGAATAATTCGCATCTTGGTAAAATCCGTAAATCGCGAAGTTCATGCCGAGAGGATCGGTGTTGCTAACCTGATCGTGGAATGCGTATGCTGCAAGACTGTACATAGAGAACTTTGTAAACAAAACCAGCGCCAGCTTGCGCAAGTTGGTGAGAATCGGTTGATGTCGTATCGGACGCTCAAAAAGAGCAATTATGTATGATGGAACTGGCCACCTCGAGAAGTGAAATGATGGGTTAGCTACTACATTTGGTACGCGACCAAAAAAGACTCAACCCCAGATTGGTGCGTTGCGGTACGCCGGCGAGTTGTAACTGTGTAGGACTCTGTAGGGCTGGTCACCGTTTGCGTGAACACTACGACTCCGGCTGCGGCTTCTGGAAAGGCCCGGCTGAACGGCGTCGGGGGAGTAGTACTGCTGCTGTTCCCATTGCTGCTGTTGGATGTTTAAGAGTTGCTGCTGGTAGTAGCTGCCGCTTTGGCTCGGGCTCTGGTTGGCAACTGAATGTCCGCGTGCAACAGGTCCCCTGTACTGCGAGTAACTGTCGTAGCTTGATCGATGACGGAGTTGTCGCTGCTGCTGCTGCTGCTGATGTCCCATTGGGTTGGTGGAGGCGCTGCGGGCGACTGGCTGGCCAAACTCAGGAAAAGAACCATTGGTAGGGCGCCACTTGTCCTCAGTCGTCAAGCGATGCCTGGCGTATTGCTTCTCGAGCATCGTCATGCCCCTGCGAGGGCTCATTGGCGGAATGGGCGGCACAGCAAGAGCGTCATCGAGTGAGGCTCCCATCAACGCCGACGGATAGCTGTGGATGGTCTCGCGGCTGTTCTGCCTCGACAAGGTCTGTCTTCGACTCGCCTCGCTGGACGAGGATGACTGAGGGCGCACTGGCACTGGCTTTCGGGGACTCTTAGTGCTACTGCGGGTGTGCAGACTGACGGGCGGAGAAGTCTTCCTCTTCACTGACACCTCGGGAACCTGCAGATTCTGAGACGCAAATTCGGAGTGGCGGCTTGTCGGAGGCAGAGGCTCGGTGGGACGAAATCGCAGCCCAATCTCACGTTCCATATGCGCCGGCATTGTCAGAGTACGACTGTGTTGGGCCTGAACAGGCTGCTCGCGAGGGAGCGCCATGAAAGCTTGGTCGAAAGCACTCTTGCCGACGCTCTCGCCGACATGGTCGATGGCCGTGATGTTTGACTCGAAGCCGACCTGAATCTCGTCGGCTCTGGCTTCGCCGATAAACTCGGCTTTGCTCACAACACCAGAAGGCACTGGCTTGCGGTGGATAGAGCGCCGCGGCATGACAGAAGCGGCAGCTTGAGCGAACGAGGCTGGCATGGTCTGGAAAGAACGGCGGAAGGGTGACTTTGGCTTTTCAGAGGGTCCAGACGTCTCTGCTATCGCCTCGCTCACAACCTGAGTCGCATCGACCAGGAGCGCAGAGCTGCGCTTGTCGTCGGCGTGGCCGGCATCGAAGCTTCCGACACTGAAAATGGTCTTGAGAGTCTCTTTACTGGCCTGCGCACGAAGGGTCAATCGCTTGGTTGTGATGGGAAACCGACCAGAGTGCTCCTCAAGCTTTGACTGAACATCCTGGGGTACCGAGGGAATCTCTTCGTCAGACGGATGCGTTGCGTGAACGGTCGGTGGTCCTCGCATTCCAGAGCCACTGAGAAGTCTTTGCAACTTGCCAGGTTTTTGCAAGCCGTTGCCAATGCTCAAGGAGGAATTTGACTTTTCGGAAGCAGCTCCGGGAGAACGAATGGCGGCCGGAGAAGCGGGGCCTTGTTCGGCCGATTGAGTGCTGTCAATTAACGCTGGGGCCGGGGATTTTCGGTCCTTGCGGAAGGAATGGCCGGCGCTGAGGTTGAAGAAGAACTTGGGCGATGTGACCGTCATTGTGTTGTTAGTCGGAGAGACAAGAAAATCATCCTTCGGGGCCAGAGACGAAGGAACTGAGGCGCCAGATAGTGAAGGATCAGCAGGGCGGATGTCGGCCTTAAGAACACTAACTTGCAGCCTGTTGCCGCTGACGGCTACAGTTGGGGATGCGGCTGAGTCTGACAGTTCATCGCCCGAATCCTCCGATGCGGCACGGCCAGCTGGACGGCTGCCTGCAGAAGGTTGCTTGGCATGGAACGACCTCAGCGAAACATTAGAACTGTAGCCGGAATCGGCCTTGGAGAGCGGTTTGGGCTGGTGCTCGGTGGTCGGGCTAGCAACGACTCCACTGTCGGCGCGTGCAATTGCTCGGGAATGTTTCTGAGACTGGTCCGCTTTCAGTTGCTCAAGACTTGGTTTTGCGTTCGGGTCATTTCTGACCGTCAGGACCTCGGCAGAGTACTCCATTTGCACATCTTCATCTTCTTCCGCAAAAAGGTCGTCTTCCATTGCTGTGTGCTTGGATGATATTTTCAACTCTGGACTGAGTGGCCTATATTTGAGTCAGCGTGAGCCGTCTCATGGTGCCTTACACAACATGGCGCCGTCTGCACGAATTGGCAAGGGAGACTACTAACGAAGTTGACCGCCGCCTCTGCGATTCCGCCTTTGAAACCGAAGTCTTGATCGGACTGAGTGTCTGCGAAGTAGCACTGGCTTGCACTGTTGAGACCGTGATCTTGATGTCCTTGCTCTCAAAGCCCGTCCCACCCGATCCGTTCTCGTGACTGAAATACTCCTCAATTGCAACCATTTGCGACTTTTCTGCTATGCTGACCTGAACTGCTGGCTCAAAGTCCGGACTTGGAAGCGGGCTGGCCTCTCCATTCGTGATCCGCAGCGAGCCAAACTTCATGGCACCTAGCGGCCGGTAATCCATATCAGAAGGGGTCAAGGCTCTTTCGACAGGTTCAACCACTGGTTCACACAGATATTCAGGCTCCGAGGCGAATCGCTCAGCGACGTATTCTTCCAACGTCGGGATCGGATATGCGCTCGAGTCAACCGATAATGAGTTCATTCGCGAACGCCCTCCTGCTGGGGTTGTAGGCATGCTGTGTCGCACACTCGACCGTCTAGATGAAGCATATTCTGACGGCATTCGGGTCGCAAGACCTGGAGTTTGGATCATGGAACGTCGCCGTACGGGTGCATACAGTGCCAAATCTGAGTTGGCTCGGGGCAGAGGCAGCTGAGCGCTGACTGATTGTGCAAGAACTGGCTGGTGCGGATGCGAACTTTTCCAAGTATTCGGTGACACCTCGAACTTGCTTTCAGACACCATCGAGTTCTCTTCGCATGCGGTGAGATCTTCGTTGAGGTTCAGGAGCCTTCTCGATTCGTACGACATGAGATTGTAGTTGATGGACTGACGATTCCCAGGAACATGCCAGCTAAAGCCGCCGTTAGTCAGTATTTGCGACGAAATGCTGGGGAGTCGACCATACCTCTCAACTTGCAACTGCCTGGAGATGTCCATTTCCTGCTGACTCTCCCAGGTCATTGAATTTGCCCTCGACATTCTGTCTGGAACAGGCGGGCTCAGCACCATGCTTTCCCTACGTTTTTGCTTCCTGGGCTCTTGAGAGCTCTTTGACCTAAACAAGCTTGCCCTGCGCTTCCAATCCCTCGCAGGTTTCACTTCTGGGTCCGCCATAGAAGCGATGCTGGGTGCTCGGGCGGCTGCACCAAGCTGAGATCCGGCGGTTGCAGAAATAGGTGACGGTGCGGGCGAATTTTGCCCAGGCAGAAGTCGCGAATTCGATCGAGAGGGTGGCAGACTGGCGGATGCAGCACGTTGTATGCTTAGTTGGCTGGGGGCCGGTAATTGGGGTGTTGGAGAGGCATGATTGCCGACTCTAGGTTTTGATAATTTGTGAGGTGACTTTTTGCTGCTGCTTCCACCTTGCACATGTGAATCATGAAGCGTCTCGGTAGACTGTGCATTGCCCATCTTGACGTTTAAAAGGTGGAATTTTGAGATGGTTCCCTAGTCCTCAACCAGATGACAAAAGTCTGCACTCTGGTAAAAGTATAGAAAATCGCCTCGAGGTAGTACGGGTTGCGGATGGCAGTGCTCGAAAACGGCCAGCCGATAAAATTTGGTTACGATGACACTGTTGAAACTGCCATGCCGCGCAAATTGCTGTGGAATTATCGACGTTACTTCGTGGGTGTTGGGTTGTAGGTTGAGCGACCCTCGAGTACTATCTGCGGTAGTGAGAAAGGGGAGATGGTCTGATATTTGTCGACGCTTTGTGAGCTGCGCCCTGAATGGTGTTCCTTTCCAAGTAGATACACTGTGAGGCGACAACGGGGACAGGCGCAACCAGTGAAAGGAAGAAGGAAAGGGGGAGGGAGGCTCGAGGAGTCTAGTTGATCACCGCCGGAGACCAGCACGAAGAGAGAAAGGCGGTGGTAGAAGGTGGGATAGGCGCAATTAAAGAAGAGGTGGCATGGGTCTGAGCATTTACCACCGGACCAGACCGAGCGAAGTGTCTATCGATTTTGCCAACTCCACATAAGGGAATGCCTGGTCTGTTAACAGAGTCAGTCGCCAGGGTCAGTGGCGAGTTGTGCAGGATTATACAGCAGCGGCAGGCATTCATATGCGGGAACAGGTGTCTCTGTCTGGGGAGTATTGGACGGACAGCGACGGTCAAGGGCCGGTGCGAGTGCAGCAGGAATGGGCCTCAGATGGCATCTGAGAGATGGACATGGACACCGACAGGAAACCAGGAGGTGGAACTGACGGTGACGACGTACATGGTTTGAGACGCGCAAGGTGGGTTGGGGCACGGCGGAAAAGGGTAGAGTACCGCCTGCGGCAGCGAATGGGCAGGGCTGTTCCAAGTTCCAAGACGGGCTCGTTGTTGGCCCATGCAGGGCTGTAGTGGCATGCGTCTTGGCCGGCGGAACGTGGATGAAGAGGTGCGTTGGTGTGGTAGGGTGGGTAGGGAGGGAGAAAGAGTGCCAAGTAGTGTCGGACGGCTATCCGCAAGGGTGTAGCGGCATCAAGTTGCATCGAGGACCCAGCAAAGGCGGAGGCGAGACACAAGAGACCAAGAGGACGAGACGGTGATTGGCGATGTTGGATGGCTGAGGTAAGGTGAAGGTTAAGGTGAGGACAAGCCCAGCAAAACAAGTCCAAAGGTACCGTGTACCGGCGACAGTTCTTGTTGTGGGCGCGGCCCGGTTCAAGATGGTGGATGGCCCATGGTGGATGGACATCCAGACGGGATGGATGATGATTAGGTATGGTATTTCGTCTGATTGATGCCATTTTGCGGTCTGGCCGGGGCCTGGGTATTACAACCTTGGCGGAGACGAGACTAAAGATTGCCCTTGTCCTGCGGTTGAAAAGACTCCACGACGGGCGTCCAGCCTCTAACCACAAGCCCCCAATCTTTTGAATGGTGGTTTGTGCAACCAGCAAAACGTTTACCAGTCCGGCGCCTTGCAGACTCAAATGCAGCAGGTATCCGTATTCCGTACCTGTTAACTGGGGTCAGCCACGGCCGTCCGTCCAGTCCGGTCCATGGAGATGTTGTCTTTGTGTGGCTGCTGAAAGGCTTCTGCGCCGCTGGCTGTGCGCAGACGCAGTATTGGCAAATACGGATTACGGACACTCATTGCCCCTCTCTAGCCCCTCGGCTCCGGACAAAAGCTGCAATCATGGTCTACTGAAATGATCTGACACAATCGGGTTGACCAAGCGAAGCCAGGGTGGGGTTTGATTAGAAGCGTCCGAGATGTAGCAGGCGGACGGGCAGACGGGCAGAGTGCAAACGGGATATGAGGTGAGAATGATGCGAGGGGACTGGCAAGGCGTCATTCCATGTCTTTGATGCGCTAGGACGGGTAGGTAATTCAAGAAGCAAAAGCTCAGCTGGAGGGAGTGTCAGTGTAAGTGAACCAAGAGAGGACGATGGGGGAGGGAGAGAGAGAGAGAAACGGAGAACCAACACGGCAAGAGAGAGTGTGGCACTTGTGGCTCGGACACATGTGGATGATGCATCCGGCAGAGTTGATTGGAGTTTAATCACCTGGATCGGGGTTCTGTCTTGGTTCACCGATGACTATCCGTATATCCGTCATGTACTCCGTACCCAAGCCGTCAAGGTTGTCGTCAATAGAGCTCTAGAATGGAGGTGATGTAGTTTGCACCGTAAGCTTTAGCCATTGCTGCAGAGACCCTGATTCTTCGGAGTTGGCATCTCTTGGTCGTCATCATCATTTCAGTTCAGCTTGGCGGCTGCTGATGAGCTGTACGTTTGAGACGATGGAAGGCAGGAAACTAGCACTTGAAATGCATGGTGGCTTGCACTTGCCCGTCTTTGGCGTCGTCAAGCAGCTCGGGATCCCAGAACCGGGTCGACCCCGCTTGCCCGCTTCGCACGCCATGAGGTCCAAGGTTCTCATTCTCTCAGTGTCCCAATCTCAAGGTCTTGATCCGCTTGGATGGGGGAATTTGGGGGCGTCAGACTCGCTCTGAACGGCGTCTTGGACTTGTTTTAGCGGGAAGCCAATCGCTCAGGCTCCAAAGCTGTCTCTCGTGGATTCCCGCCCGCTAGGGACCCGGAAGGACGTCTTGTCACGCAGTGGCGGTCCAGCCGGCAGCAATATAGGTGGTGATCTCTCGTGGCCGTGTCCTAATTTTGTCCAGTACTTGTAGGCAAGCTGTGAAGGCGCGAGCTAGGCTATCTGCGTCGTTATCTGAGCTGAGGTATATGCCGGCTGGTGTTCTAGATGGGCCTTGTTACTTGGAGAGGGCGCAAAACAAGGCCCAAGTGCCGGATATGTACCTCCGCCATACTGGGTGGCCCTGCAGCCATACCGCCATTCTGGGATTTGTCTTTTCAATCTTCGGTCAATGTTCCCATGAGGAAGACGCATCTGAGCAAGTACCTAGAGCAAAGTACGGACATGGAGCAATACAACAAGAAAGTCAAGAAAGTCGAAAAGGTTGGTAGGCAGGCAAGCACGCAAGGTGAATGCGGAGAGAAGCTCTTTCCCCCGCTTACATGGGCAGATTCGCAGATTCTAGATCAAGCCACCACGTTGCGACGCTCCTGCCTCCCTCGTGAGGTATCTTGTTCCTGCTCCTTCCTGTTCCTGGTTTTTTGCGTGCCGCCTTCCTCTTGCCGGCGCTTCGTGCGGCGTGCCATGTCCACGTTACTGAGGCAGGTGCTTCTGAACGTAACCTCAACCTCCTACTCCTCCTTTCTTGCCCACCTTACCATCGAGTCCCTGCCTCGCCCAGATTGCTGTTGATTCTGGTTCGCTTGTCCAGACAGGCAGGCACCTCATGCCCTCACGATCTCCTTCCAAGGCCAAACATGATGCCCAGCCTACTTTAATCCATTGCATCCATCGTATTTCAGGAAGGCGAGGCACCTCAGTTATTCCTCCGATGCCGACTCGCTTCCAAGTTCTGTCCTTCATCATCACATTACATGAGAACTGCCTGAATCGGGACACCACGGTCTCTCTGCCTTGATCCAGCATACCAATACCAGATCTTGCGTTGGCTGGTCCGGTCACTTGCCATCTCTCCGTGGCCTCGTTTTCGTACGGGGTACGGGGGTTGCGACGCCAACCTCTTACAATGGCCAGGTGCCAACAAGGATGTTTCCCCTCTCCCATGGAGAGGCAGAGACCGAACGGAAGACGCAGCCGCTGCTACGGATACATACTCACTCCTCTTGACGACCTTTGCGTGCCCGTGGACTAGCACGACGTGTCAACAGTTCATCTCTGCTTGTCCCATCTCGGCCGCAGTCCAGGTTGTCTCTGTTGCGCGGCATGCATCTCCCTCTCAACCACAATCGAGCCCAAACCAAACTTGACGAATTCCTTACGCAGCACTAGTGTAAGCAGTAGTGTGGCAGTTTCCGTCACCTTTCCGTCGTGCGGTGTGCCACAACCCTCGTCTGAGGCTCAGATCTTCTCAGAAAGTGTGCCCGTTTCAGATTGTGCCACTTGACTTGATGGGTCAATCGGAAGTTGCAAAGACCAGCATATCCTCATGAATGATCCCCGGCTTGCCCGCAACTCAGGCAACATGCTTGGTCAGGCCAGCACCAGTCCCCAACATCCCCGATGCAGTTCGTGCATGGGAAGGGATGCCCGTCGTCGATCATCGGCTGCCAACAGCCACTCTTTCAACGTCGGACAACCCTATCTGAGACCATCCACTCCCCGAAACCGGCTCGTCAGAGTCGTCACTCTCGCTCTAGTGTCGCTTGCTGCGATAGCACTCAAAACTTGAGGAATTAGGTGTCGACATTCAGACGAGGGTCAAGCAGCGTATTCGTTTCCTGCATCGAAGCACTCTATTTGGCACGCCATTATTCTGCTGTTCTGCTCAGATGACCGAGACATTCGCCCTTTGTCTTTCATTTTCGGCAACTCCCAAAACACCGAGATAAGATACATCATCAGTCGCCCTGCCACACGGCCCGCGGGACGAATGCTCTGGTATGGAGAATTTACTCCCCGCCCAAGATAGCCTCACCAGACACCAAGGGCGGGCAATCTCCCCCACTTTGAATTAGCTCTGTCGCCCTTACAAACAAGGTTCAGGGGCCTGCGAAATTGCCCTTCCTACTCCGGCTGCTTCCTCATTTAGAGCACCAAAGACCGAGAGACAAAAGAGAAAAGACGACTCATCAATCTTTCATCATACAGAGCTCATCTTCCGAAGCTGCAATATGCCTCGCCGGTTTCCAGTGTTACCGGTCCACCACACCATACGGAGATGGTCAACGAAGGATGCTCCGGCTCATTTTGCAAACCACGTGTTGGGAACGTCATGTAGACACAGAGGTCCTGTTTTCGGGCTCGGCTACCCACGCTGAATTGCGAAGCGGCCCGCTAGCTGACACGGGAAACGGCCATGATCGAGATTGGTCGTTCTCGTTCTGCAATGGCTGCACAAGAGTTCGGAGTACGAATGCTCCCATCAACTATTTTCCGAATGGCCGGGTTGACAGCAAGGGTGACGGGTCACGTCTTCGCGGACAAAATCCTAGTGGCGTTGCACGGTTGTAATCGCCAAAAGTGCGCGCATTTTTATTTTTCTATCTAGGCGCCGTAATTGTATCGTAGCATGCCTGGCCTGCTTAGCCAGGAGTATCCGTACCAGCCTCGGACATGGAAGGAAACGAGACACACGTTGCTGCTATACACTGCAACTCCCCCGCTCGCAGTCCATCGTCCGTACCAGCGTGGGCCGGTAATTGTGCCGCTCGACTCGTTGTTGATTTGGTATCAAACGTCAACAGCACAAACTCCCCGAGACACGCCACCAATTCTTTCTCGTTCGGCCGAAGCAGCAGACGGGTGTTCCCTAAGATCTCTTACACTCCAAGGACCATACCAGTTCGCGAGGGAGCGATCGATGCCCACCAGCAAAGTATCGACTACCTCGCCAGCTCACCTGGCTTAAGCGATGGGCGGTGTTTCCGCCGTTCAAACTTATCACGTCTGCTATCGACCCGAACTCCACCTGCCCGCAGCACCACTGAGACTTCTAGATTGGACTACGGATTCTTCCTGACGACGTTTATCGGCAACATCCTTGTCTCTGGACTGTCTATTTTTCCTTCTGGTGGAGGATGTTATGTAAGAATGAGTTATCGTGTGGACGAGCTCACTGAGTACATGGTCAAATGCCATTCACCGTCTGATACTGCCCACTCACGCGAGGGACTCCTCCCCGTTGGACCCAACTAATGCAGTTTCTTCAAACACTCGATTGTTGCCTGTCGAATCATAAGGAGTCGGAGCCACTATGATGATCAAGCAGCACCGACGGAGTGTGTTCCTCTTCGGAGCAGCTTCGGAACAGACTGCAGATGTCGGCACGGCAAGCTCCATAAAATAAGGCCCGATGATCATGCAACCTGAAAAATGCCCGCGCCGCGAGCCGTCGCTGTTTGGGCGAGATTGATCCCCGCGCCTCTTTATCCCCTCCAAGAGATTGATTTACGAAGTAGGCACCTCCAAGTTGACCTACGCACGACATATGTCGGCTACTCGAGAAAAAAAAAGCATGGCTATTTTACCAAACTCAACTTCATGCGAAACTTGCACAAGCGTGGTCCACGTCACAGAGTACGCGACTCATCGCACGCACTCCTTCACGACCCAGACATGACCAAAGGATTGGACCTTTCCATGGTTCTCCCCCCCTTCCGCCAGCGAGTGAGCGAATTCAAGCAAGACCTCGCAGACTAATACACCACGGTCGTCTGGTCTCGAGTCAAGCCTTGCAGGAGGTTGGTAATGATTCGAAGCTTTTGGGGGGCCTCTGGGACTAGGAGCCATCGTCCAAACCCATGCCTGGAGCCAGACAGTTGCTGTCGCAAACACTGCTGCCAACCGCCGGGAAGGAGACCATGAGATGAAGGTAGACGGACGAATTTCGGGCAGCCAAGCGCTCACAGATAGCCTGAAGATGCGGACTGCTGGGCTGCAGCGCTTTGATCGCTCGCCTACTATCCAAGCGGGAACACACTTACGAGATAGCCTCGATTGGTTTGAGCTTGTCATCTATCAGTGAAGCGGGAGATCTAGCAAAGAACAAGCACGCTTCCATCGACACCAGCCAAGTGTTCTCAAGCGGCGTGTAATCGATAGTATTATTGCCGAGCCTCCTGGTCAGGTATCTTGCTTCAGAAATCATGGCCTCTTTCGGAGGACGCATTGAGGACGCCGAGACTGAAGCTCGACAGTATGAACCATTTTTACAAGCATGCAGATATACCTACCAAGAACCCGAGTCAGCTGTTGCATTGAAGAGACGAAGCTGCCTCGTGGCCAAGGTGGTTGGGCAGGTTCCATGGCCTTCCGGAACGTTTTGATCGCCATACTCCTGAGCGAGTCGGGGCGGTCCTCAAGGTCATGGCGCACGGGCAAAGGATTTCTCCATGTTTCAAAGTCGTTTCCCTCACGGCGAGAGCACAAATTCTATTATTCTGCCCTGGTCCCAAACACAAGCACCAGTTCCACTGGTGCCAGTTCCACTGCTGGTTGAGGTTAGCTCTTTCACGGAGCTGGCCTCCTGGTCCTGTTCGATGGGGTTCGGGCAATTCGGCTGGGGAGCGCATTGTATACGCTTGAGGACGCATTTTCTTCCAGACTTGACTGTTGAACAACGAAGGCTGACCATCGCTGATATAGTCGAGATCTATTACGCCAAGAGCACCTTGCTGCTTCATTACCAAAAAGAAGATCTATGAAGGCGTCCCTTAGGGCACCAGACCGTCAAATAAGGGGACCAAAGCTCTGACCGGGTGTTCGGAGGTCCAAGTCGGGCATGAATCTCACCTGAGGGGTTTTTCAAAGTCAAATCGGCCAAGTTTACGTTTGATGTCGATACTTGGGTATCTGGACTTTGGTGGGAAGCTCCATCTATCCCACCACAAGTTCAACGGCCTCGTCGGCCCATCTCTTTCCCTCCAACAATAGAGAATGGGGGAGGGTGGTGAGCCTGCTCAGACTCTGCATGCCAGGGAAGAGCTTGTCGTGTTTGACTACAACGCACCACGTTGAATTCGCAGAACAGCCATTGTCTAGCAACATTGCAGAAGCAAGAAACGGCCACCAAAGATTTCCGCCTCATTCTCCAATGACATAGGTACAACCCTCATCGCCAATCCATACTTCATGCACGCGGCCGGCGTCCACGTCGATACGATCGCCGACGCCATAAGTAACCTTGTCGGGGTTCTTGTCCTTGGGATAAGTGATGGTAAGGTTCCCACGCAGGATCAGATGGGTCGTCAGACCCCGATGCGAATGCGGGGAGTAGTGCGCGTTTCTGAGCTTTGATCGTCAGTTCGTGCATACTTGGCTTGCACTTAGGGCCAGGCCAGAAGGAAAGGCAAAAAGGCAGTGGGCATCACGTACGGTCCGTCGGTCCAAGTGAAGACATGAGGAAACCCCCAAGATCTAACCTCGGACTCGCTATCACGCTGGGAATTGGGCTTAGAAGGCATGACTGCAATATTGGGCGATTGCTGGCTTGAAGCTGAGGGTAATGTGCGCAAGGCAAAGTTGAGAAGTTCGCTCGTGGCGCGGCGGCGGCGACGGAGGTAGACTGAAGACAGCTTGCGATTACGTCAGAGAAGATCCGATGTCGAGCTCCGTGCAGTCGACCGGGTCCGAGAGCTGTTCGTCGGCGGTTCCGCAGCTGACAGGTATGTTCTTCTCTGGAGGCTGGGCTGAGTCGAGTTGAGAGGAACCTCATTGAGATAGTTCATTACCGGAGTCAATGTTTAGAAACGCCGGGTCGGGTGCGCAGAGGTGGTGGTGGTCCGCGTACTCAGGTCTCGAGAGTCGGCTGCAGTGTGGGGGAAGCCGACTTTTGGGTGCTCGTCCCCCACTTATGCCCCGAGTGCCCCGATGCCGTGTGGCGACTGAAAGGACGGTGGTTTCCGGGAGGCGCAGCAGCGGCAGCCGAGCAAAAGAGATGCATAGGCGCCGGTGGGAAATGCGTGGCTTGGTGGCCAGCAGCAGCAACAGCAAGCAGACAAACTCGGAGCACCGGCAAAGACCCCGTCATGCCACCACGCTCCCTCATTCCTTGGCGTGCGGGTGACAGACTTGACGCCCCTCCCAGCTGGACTTATGCACTGAAGTGGAACATAACAACGGCTCGACGGAAGAAAACCGCCCCAAGGCTCTGTCAGGCCAAGTGGAAACCACTTGAGAATGCTTGGGTTCCCAGACTTCTGAGCCCTGGAGACTCTGTCACATACTGTGTCACTCTTGTTCAGCTCGTTCCACTTTTTTTTTTTGGCGTGTCACCGTGTTTAATGGCTGCCTAGAGAGCTATTCCCTCGACCTTAGCATGCCCATGATATCACTTTGTATGGGGATCATCCCTCCCTCCATACGAAGCGGCAACGCCTCCACTAATTACGACATAAGGTATCCGTACGAAATACCCTAGCTTGCCTAGGGCCTATCCGTACACTGATGGTTTCCACCCGCTGTATCCGTACGGATGCTATGTTTAGCGCATCTCAAACGGGGGACTGCGAGACGTCAATATTGAATAGGGGCAAGGCTAGCTAGTAGGCGACAACTGTCTCGAAGCATCAGCCGTACTGCCGTTTTGCCGGGCCCGGTGACAGTAGGTATAGCATGAAAGTTTCCGATCTTGCGTGGACAGCATAGCGCAGCACAGCAAACGACGCATGGTGAGTTGTATGTTAAGGTGCTGCTGTAGTCTGCATCTTGTGGCAGGCGAAAATGGGCTGAGCACTCTTCTATGTAGTAGCCAAAGTACGTCGGGCATTGAGCCTCTCAGTGTGCCCTACGAAGCGACACCAATCTGTCAGTGGTAAATCGAGGCTCACGTCCAATGGTTCCGAAAGAGGCACCCCGTAAGACAGACAGGGCAGACTGCGATTGGGGGCCAAGACTAGCCATCTGCAGATGGATTCAGTGTGACGCTCCGCTTCGCGATGCAGGGAAAAGACCAGAGAGAGTCACACACATACGCGCAGACTCCGCCCCTCTGAAAACAAGGCATCACCACTTACTTTTGCTAGTTTTTTTTTTCAGTATTCGAAGAAGATCATGAACGTCGGGAAATGTGCTTTGGGCCTGGCACTCTTCAGTCTGACAATCATCATGCATATCAGATACTCAAAACAGACAGTTATGACAGAAACTATGCGGTACGCGTCACTCTCGTCCAATAGCCGACATTTCTGAGTCGAGGGAGAATGGAGAAGAGACGCGGGCTCCGACGTGATCAACAACAAAACGAAACAAGTCGAGATGCAGAGGCCAGCTCGAGAACCAAGGACGTGGATCCCGAGGAGGCCGTCCCTCAATGTCTCAATTCTGGTAGAGATTGAGAAGAGTCTCACTCCAGTTTCCATCTCAACAGGCAGTAGAGGTAAGGAACACCACGCTAGAGGGCGCCATCGACAGGGCCCTCGGGACCACCTACAGCAGGGATCCAAACCATCGGGGGCAGTGCTGGCCCCTTCCCATTGGCTACTTGCATCGTTCAGCACACCCATCAGACGAGGCTGTCCCCCCTCCAAGTGCCCTGCAGGTGCTCTCCAAAGGGCTCCAAGTGCTACGGAACGGGAACCCCATCACGCTGGATCACACTTTACACCACAGTAAGGTAGGCACTTCCCTGCCCACCCATGTCCTCAGCTATGCTGACATGCATATCCACGCTTCCCACTCTCGTTGAAATTACCCTTTTACTGTCTCTCGAATGCCTTCGTTCCTCGAATTTCCTCGAATTCTCGAAAATAATCCTAAACTCTCGTTCAACGACAACTTGTATTCTTACAACTCCGTTCCTTCGTCTCCGTTACCATTTTTTATCCTGTCCCTCCAATGGGCTAATGATCATACCCATACGCTCTCCGAAGCCGTACCCCTCTGACCCCTAGAACCAGAGTAGGCTTGACTGAGCAAAGAATTACCTCCCTCCCGCGACGACAATCCGTCAGCCATACGCACGATCGACTTGGCCAACCAACACACACACATATAGAGGAAAGAAAAGAGGACTTGATCCGGAGGCAGGCTATCAAGCCGCTGCAGCTCGCCCGCCATGTGTCTCTCTGTACGTCTCTTACCATATCCCGTAGGGGTTGTGCGCTCAATGCAAGGCTCCGGCATTGGCAACGCCCGCATATGATGCCTCTCCTGCACTTTCCCAAAGCCTTTGACACTGGCCTCGAGCTCGTGGTCAATCATCGCACATAGACTTACACATCTTGACAGTTCTGGCGCCGCAAGACCGCCCCGAGCAACGAAAAGACACAAAAGAAACGAACCCTCACGATGCCGCTATGGTCCTCCTCCAACAAGACCTCCGCCAACACCCTCAAGAAGATGGTCGGCCTCACCACGATCCTGGCGCCTACACGAGACGGCTTCCACTTCCAACCCGCTCCCCGGCCGATGCCCCTCATCAATATCACAAACGTCGACGGCGCTACCGACCCTTCGTCCTCATCATCGGCCGCATCGGACCCCAAGGAGGCAGTAGTTTCGCCCAGTCCCGATGAGATCCTGCTCAGCCAGGCCATTCGCGAACGTTTCGAGAAGATATTCAACGACCTACGCTCCCGCCGCTCTTCACTATCCCGCGAACCTTTTGTGACCCGCGACCAACTACTCGTATTCCTCGAGAATACTCAGGGCGAGACCGATGTCGAGGCTGTATTGCCTGAGGGTCAGCAACGATACAACTATGGCGAGTTCCTCGAATTGTGGTGGAGAAACTACGGCTGGGATGCCACCCGCCCAATAAAGGAGGAGGACAAGGACTTGAGCCGGCCCATTACGAACTACTTCATTAGCAGCAGCCACAACACATACTTGGAGGGCAACCAGCTTGCCTCCAGGAGTTCACCCGAGGCTTACAAAACTGTATGCTGTCCTATGCTCGCATTCGCTCAGCAAAGAAACATAACTTCTAACACATGAACTGCAGGTCCTTCGCCGTGGATGTCGGTGTATCGAAATCGATATCTGGAACGGAGACACACCCATCACAACACAAGAGGGCAGCCGCTCCCCCAAACCTGATCACTCGAGGAATCTGTCTGGCTCCTCCCTTCCCAACGTGGCTGCAAGCGTCAAGGAGACTGTGGAAGATCTCCTGATCGAACGCAGCACGAACGGCAATGGCCACAACAGAAACACCAGCACTGCCAGCAAATCGCTGAATCCTCGCGATAGTGCCACTCTACTGGGACCGAGCGAGTCCACCGACTCCCTCGGCAAAACCCTACGGCCCTCATCGCCGACCCCCTCAATGAAGAATCGCCTGCCGTATCCCAAGGATGAGCCCATTGTCACACATGGCTGGACTTTGACAACTCCTTGTGGCTTCAGAGAGGTCTGCAAGGCCGTTCGCGAGTCCGCCTTCGAGACGAACGAATTGCCCTTGATTGTCAGTCTTGAGGTCCATGCCGACAAGGAGCAGCAGGAGGTCATGGTCAGGATCATGAAGGAGGAGTGGGAAGGCATGTTGATCGACAAGTCTTGGGAGGGCATTGATCCCCGGTTTCGCCTCCCCAAGCTCGAGGAGCTCAAGCGCAAGATCCTGGTCAAGGTTAAGAAGGCGCCTAATAAGATTGAGGTGCCTCCCAGCACGACAGCCCTCTCTCAAGTATTTGCCGACGACGAGGACGCTTCGGGTTCCGACGATGAACGCAACAAGGAGGCACCTAAGCAAGAGACACCGAAACCGCCCATGACACCCAAGTTCGATGCCCCGGCCAAGGTCCATAGTGGAAACGAGCCGGCCAAGAGCACAAAGGTGGCCATTTGCCAGGCACTCAGCAGTCTGGCCATCTACACTCATAGCGAGCACTTTAAGAGCTTTGAGACACCGGCGGCTAAGAAACCGAGTCATATCTTTTCGATAAGTGAGAACAGGATCCTAGAACTGCACACGACCAAGGCCCGCGAGATGTTCACGCACAATAAAAACTTCTTCATGCGGGCATTCCCCAACGGCTCGCGTGTCGATAGCTCCAACCCGGACCCCAGTCTCTTCTGGCGCAAGGGCGTGCAAATGGTTGCTCTGAACTGGCAATATCTTGACGAAGGAATGATGCTCAACGAGGGCATGTTCGCGGACGAGCTGGGATGGGTCCTCAAGCCTATTGGATACCGCAGCACTGACAAGGACACGCTGACAGAGGTCGACGCCGCGCCGCAGGGCGACCTGGAGCTCACCGTCACCATCATCGCCGGCCAGCACATCTTTGTCGACGACGATTCTGCCAGCGACAGCAGCCGCGGCAAGCACCTCCGGCCATTTGTCAAGTGCGAGCTTCACGTCGAGATTGGAGCGCAGAACGGAAAGGCTGCGGACGAAGATGACTTCAAGCTCAAGACGGGGTCGAGAAAGACTGACCACCCCGAGTGGGAGAATGGAGCACGGCTCAAGTTCCCCAAGATCTCGAGGGTGGTGGAGGAGTTGAGTTTCCTCAGGTAAGAAAAGTCACGGTTTCCTTTATTTTTTGCTTTCTTCCTCCGGCAGCGGCATGTCTGGGCCTACGGGCCTTGACGATCTTTTGAGAATATGACTCGAGAAGACGGCGAGAAAGATGTGCGCGGCTCCGCGCCTACCCTCCCGCGCGCCGGCGTGTCCGACTTGTAAGACCAGAACAGCTCCGGCGGTGTAACGTTGTCCGAAGTGGTGACGGCTCCCCGACCCCCGGGAATGGCCTGATTCATCCTCGGATGCCATGCCGGGACCCGTTGCCGCTCTGCGTCATAGGCACGAGACGGGAACGCTCGTGGAACGAAGTCGGTCGTCGAGTTGTGCCCCCTTCCATGCCGTGTCACCGTCCCCTTCCCGTCCACGAACCGTTGATCCGTCAATACTCACCTGCCACGCGGGCCGCCGCGTTGACAGCCCGGGCCGCCGCACACCGCAACGTTGTTCTTCTTCTCTCCCGCTTCTCTGCATCCTGCGAATAGCCATGACCAAAAAATAAATGAGGATGGTTTTTACTGACTTGTGTTTGAACCGCGCAGATTCAAGATTGAGGATGATCCACTCCTCGGTGGCGACGAGCTTCTCTCGTGGGCATGTATCCGCCTCGACCGTCTACGTCCCGGTTACCGCTTCATCAAGCTCATGGACACCAAGAACAGGCCGATTGAAGGTGGTAAGCTGCTCGTCAAGATCGATAAGGTGGTGCGGTAGAGACCCGCGCGTCCCGTCCGTCTGTCCGTGATATCGTATACCGTACCCGGCCTATGGGCAGAGGCGAAAATGCTGTAACACGCGATGTGGCAGACATACTAGCAGGGAAAGCCCTTTTTTTTTCGTTTTGTTCCCTTTTTCTTTCTCTGGCTCTGCGGGTTTCCATGGGAGGCTCTGATACCTTTTTTTTTTTTTTTTTTTTTGCATAACACAGTTGGTGACTTAGGCGTTGACATGGCGTTCATTCGTATTCTTCTTCTTCTTTCCTTTCTCGAGGCGAGCGATACCTATTTCCCCCTGCTACAACCTAGAGTTTCAGGTTTTTTATTCCCTATCAAGCCAGGCACCTTTTTCTTTTCTTCTATAATTTCCTTTTCTTCTGAGCATACACTGTACGCGGCACATTCGGAGAGGTTCCTTGGCGTGTCTCGGGGAGTTTTTCTCCTGTTTTGATCGAGAGGCGAAAATTGAGAATTGGATGAAAAACAATGGGAGAGACAAAAGCAGGTCATCTCAGAGTCATGAGAGGTCATTTCCTTATTTTGGGGGTGGGCGGCGGTGGTGGTTTGAGAGAAGGAAAACCCTTTCTCTTGACGAGGTCAGAAGATCAAGAGACAGGATTATACGCTGGTGGGAAAGGATTGTCTCAAGGTCACTGAGATAAGACACACACACACACATGAGAGACAAGACAGGGCGCAAAAGGACGAACAGCACACATACAAACCTACAAACCTGTGGGGCGCCGATCTTGACGCAGAGAAGCGCGGGGCGGGATGGAAACCAAATACCGTACCGTACGTAGTGGAGAGAGGAAATGAACAATTCCAAGGTATCTCACCTACACATGTAGACTCTGTTTTTGGGAGGCCCATTCAAGACCCCAATCCGTGACATGTCGTTGCTTCCGTGTGACCATTCCTGTCTCTTCTGTCAACGGCTCCCTCCCTAAACGGTCTCATGTGTTGTCCGACGTGACCGGATCTGGGGGGGGGGGGGGGGACACCCTGTTGCCGGCCATCCTGAAGCTTGACCGCCGCCCGCCATGAAAGATCTGTCATATCCGAGTATTGACCAACGCGAACTTGTGAGGATGTCCTCCTGTATTGCTGTGTAGCAGTCAAATACGACGGGTTGTCACTGCATTGTAGACGGAAAGCGGATACCTGCCAAACCCTGTATCGGGACATGCAGGACGAACAACGAATCTCATCAATGGCATGTCGGCCGTATCCCATACCAACCTCTTTTTTTTTGTCTTTCTCTCTTTCTGGCGTACTGTCTCTCTGCAACGGTGATGACCATCAGGGTAGCTGTCGGTTCCCGTGGGAGCATGTCGTGGGACCACGAACGAGATTCTTCTTTTATGCCTCACGTCGCACCTGGGCGGACGTACTTCTTGGTCGTACGACGCCGGGAAGGGAGACAATAGACTCGCGGACCAAGGGAATTCTCTCGCCGAGGTTGAACGATATGACTCTCGAGACTGTGTAACCTTTTGAAAAATGTTTGATGACGGCCACGAGTTCCGAGTTGACGGGGGAATCATACACGGCCACCGGTAGACTCTATTCCCTGCTGTCAACAACAGTTGAGAAAAAAAAAAAGACATCTTCCTCCTGCCGCTCTGTTGCCGCTTCTTCGACGGGAGTCGGCCCTCGTTGAGCCGCCGTGTAATGACTCCGGTTGTGACTCCACCACCCGTTTCCGCGCCAAGAGGACCGACTGCAGCTGGACTTACTGCTCGTAAAGGCAAGGTTCTAGACTGCTTCTGCCCGCCATCATGCGATGGTTGCCTGCGACAAATGAAGGCTCTCATGAACCCCACCAGTACCAATCTCAACCCTGGTGAGGGCTCAGCAGACGACGCTGCAGCCCTGCCCGGCTCTTGCGGCTTGGCACCGAAAGATGCACGATTGGCAACCCTTCCTGCCTGGATATACCTAACCCGGTGGCACCAGTTGTGGGCTGCAGGCTCGGCATAAGAAAGTAAGCCACCGAAAAGAACAGATGAAGCTAAGCGGGAGTGCGTCGATCCCCAGGAAGTCTCAACCCGCTGTGGCGGGCGTGATGGTATAGCCAAAAGGCGAGGTTCCCAGTGTGGCCGTTGGTCGTGAGACAAGTCATAACGTAGAATAAGAAAGATTGTTCCAAAGTTATCCAATGAAGCCATTTCATCTTGCATGTCTGTAAGACAAAAAAGGAACAATGGCCGTCATGTGCAATCATAGCGCCGGACTAGATGGAATCTGGCGCGGCCCGACAGTAGGCAACTTGTCAGTTATCACCGGGGATAGATTTGCCGGTGCGACTGATCCGACCAAGGGGTTCGTCGCGGAATTAGCAGCCTTGGCTGCAGGTTTTGAGTAGGCATCTCGACAGTCCATCCTCTCGAGCCGTCGCGGAGAAGCCAGGGCCAGTTTATGCAACTCGTAGCCATCAGAAGTTGGCCGTCTTCCTGTCCGCAACGAGTACAAATGTCGCCAAATTAAAGTTGACGGTACTATGGCTTGATATTGAGACAGGCGATTGGTGGTTACCTGGCGTTGCGGGAACTAGGGCGGTGTAACAAGGCTATCACCAAGCGCCTAGCCCTCGAGTAACAATAGGAGTTGGTCATGGCAAAGGTGTCCAAAGTACCTAAAGTACGTATGCAAAGCGCAAGGGTTCGGGAAGTGAGACATGCGTTTGTTCTGTCAATTGTGAAAGTCGTTTGGCGGGGGCATCATCGAGATCTCTCTCAATCTAAAAGTACCGTTGGGAATTGAGCCTCTGGTTACTGAATAGTGATGAAGATGCAACAACCCACCATTGCCTCTCGGTTTTGTGACTGGCCATGTGGTACACTGGTCGGGCTGCTGCGGGCGGTTCCGACAGTCTGGTCGACTAGCTAGGTATGCCTGTCGTCCATGAGCATGTCACCGAGGTTTTGGTGTTTTCTATGGAGATGATCAGGAGATTGAGGGAGGGATCGTTCGTAGATCCGATTGAGCTTCAAAATGGGGCTGACTTGAGACTTGGATCCTGGTCTTGCGTCAATCATTACCTTGCTCAAAAAGCGGTTATTACCATGTGTCAGGAACCGCGAGTTCGAGACTTGGAGCGGCAAGCCATCAACTAGGCCATGGATCAGAATAGCAAAACGAGGAGACGGAATAGTTGTAGTCCTTGTTGAGGATCCTGGCGACTATCGTTTGGCGTTTTGATGAGACGTAAGTCCATCGAAACTGAGGCTGCCAAAACAACACGTCTCTCCGGTTGCTTGCAGATGTAATGCAAGTACCCTCACCGCAAGGGACTCGTCGTTGGTGATATGTAGTCATGGAATACGCGAAATAATTGCTGAAAACCTGTTTGTTCTCGTGCTTGGGGCCAGCTCCGGAGCAGTCAATGGAATGTTTTGACAGGCGATACTGGTGCAGCCAAGTTTCCCGAAGCAAGGGCGGTAGATTGAGTAGCTCAGCTGTGCTTGACCTAGACACTATTGGTTTGATGCGATATGCTGGTCGGACTTCCCAACAGCAGAGTCTCTCGGAGTTTCGCACATCGTTGCTGCCACATCCTTGCAAGAAGAATATTGTCGCTGTTTTCCATGGTTCCACCATATTTCGAGCGGGACCAGATCGTGGAATTGTTGAATAGTGATTGCGACGGAGAAAATGTCTTTGAATGGGCGGACAGTGAAGCTCTGCAGCCGGAGATGTAGTCAATGTGACAGATCACTTTCTTCCGTTCGATTGCGCCTCCATGAAATTGGAAGCGGAGGCTGGGACAATGCCGGGCATGTACCGATTTTCGATGAGAGACTGACTGATCGACCGCGCATCTCGTCTACGAGATGACAGGTCACATCGGCCTCTTGGTATGCTTGAGGCCCGCGCAGGAGGTGGGCATTGAGGCTCTCAAATGGCCCCCGAATCTGACACTGAATATCAGTGGTGTTACGCACAAAGCTGTCTGCAAGAGTATGCAGGTCGAATGTTGGAGGCGTTGACTGCTAGATGAAGGCCGAGGGACGTGTGTTGGTACATCGGCTAGAGGTAGTGACTACTGACCAGTCGTTGACACTGGTTGGAGGCTCAGAGCGTGCGTGTTGTGTGTTCCGCTAGTGGTGGTCACAAATGACAATAATGATATTTCGCCGAGAACAATTGACACGTCGATTCGCCTGTTGGGCATTTGAAACCAAGATGTGTGAGACATGAGATTGTCTTATGGTGCTCCTGGGTCGGTGCCGGCTAACATTGTCGATTCACATTTCGGTGACGATGGAATCGGGATTTTTGAATCCAGACCCTTCGATGATTATCGGTGAGTCTGCCCACATGCATTTGGAAGATGGCCTGCCATTGAATGGGTCGGTGTGGATTGAGCTACACCTGAGCCAGGGCGAGCCGCGGCACCATACTCACCGATCAACAACGACTTTGCCCCAAGCACAAAGTAGTTGCACACCTTCCTCGTTTGATGGAGGTTTTGGTGGCAATGCCTCCAACACACGGCGGCACGTCTGCGAGAACGGCCGGGACGACAGCCGGAGGCCCGAAAACGTATGATCTCGTGTTTTTCGGCAGGGCTGGTGTTATGGGGTGAGATGCAAAGACGTTGGAAAAGGCCACTACGACGCCACATTGTGTCCAAACCTTGGCACATGTGTCAAACCTCGTTGGCGTCGCTTGGACCAAGGGCGGGCTGTGGTATTACACATTCACTTTTTTTTGCGGCCTCGTATTGCGGCCTCGTCACACCGCGGTAACAACAAGTAGGGTGTGCGCACCGTAGATCGCGGGATGTGATGGCGGCTACGGCTGAACGTCAAAGTCTACGCGGCCGATTACGGTGCGACCACCTGCGAACCAGCTTGCTGGGATGAGGCTAGGCTCCTACCTCTTGCAGTAGTCGGTGAGCTGTGCAACAAACAGCAGCGCCAGGCCGGTAGGTATTGTGGTCGACTTTGGAGAGGGTGTGTTAGGATTGTCCACGTTTCGAGGTGTAAGTCCATCCACTGGAGCAGCGATATCGCGAACGATGAGCGAGATCCCGCTGACTTGGAATTAAACTCCCGTTTGACGAGCAGAGGCGGCGCCAGATGTTCACATTCCCAACAGACCTCCACTTGGGGGACTCTCGTCGTTTCCGTCGAGCCGAGCTGCTCTTTGCCCCTGCTCGCGATAGCTAGGTAGGTAGTTTGTGGGTGCGGGCACGGTGC